CTGAGGCCCAGTAGAGTGGGATGCCCAGTCTAAGTTGTAGGTGATTGTGGGATATCAGAGGGCAGAAATGGTTTCCTGGTGACTGGCCACGTAGGCTTGAGCCTTGCCAGTTAGGTGAAATCTGGAGGCATGAAGGGGAGGGTGTTGGTGTTTCTGGCAGAGACAGGCATGAGCCTAGGGAGTGGTGGGCTCGGTGAGGCCTGACCAGGTGTGAGAGGGGTGAGGGGCAGCTTGGTGCCAGTGTTAAGCTGGGGTGGGGGGGCAGGGGGGACAGCTCCACGAGTTATCAGCCAGGACACATCGTGGCCATGGTTGTTTATTCTCTCTGGGCCTCCATTTGTAAATGGGGATGTTATTCTTCCTGCGTGATGAGCTTGTTTGAAAGGTAAATGATGGTTATAGTGTTCATCAGCAGTGTTCAGCCTTCAGAAAACTGTCCAAAAAGATGAGCCACTAGTATCATTGTTATGAGACTGTGGAGGTGGACATGGCAGCAGACTTACATCATAGATTTTAAGGGGCGAGTGGCGGGCTGTATTTGGAAGTTTCCTGTGCGGTGGGATGGGGTGGAGGACAGCCGGCAGGCAGGCCTCAGTTCGGGAGTTGTACTGGGAAAGGGCCAAGGCCACACCTGGACTTCCCTCTCAGAGGCCCCTTCTCCGCTCTGAGCGCGATGCTCCATCACAGCGCTATAATGGTGGTCTCCGGGCACCTACCTCCGGGGGCCCTCGGCTGTTCTCAGCCTGATGGGAGGAGGGGCCCTGTCTCCAGGGACCGCCTCTGGGCTGTGGTAGCCCTACCTGGAGGCCTGGGCTCCTCTCGGACCCCTGGTGGCCGGACGGGTCTGGGCTGGGGCTGGAGTTGTAGGGGGCGGTAGCTGATGGGACGCCTGGCCCGCAGTTTGACCATCTGGACTCTGAGTGGCTGGGGATGCCGCCACTGCCCTCGCCGCGCTGCCTCTTCGGCCTGGGAGAGGCTCTCAACGCCATCTACGTGGTCGGCGGCCGAGAGCTCAAGGACGGCGAGAGCAGCCTCGACTCGGTCCTGTGCTACGACCGGCAGTGAGCGCGGGCTGGGGCGCGGCCGGGCCCGGGGGCGGGAGCCTGGAGGCCGGGGACTGGGGCGGGCACGGGGTTGGGTTGGGGCGGGGCGGTTGGCAGGTGGGGTAGGAGGAGGAACTGAGCCATCTGGGGAGTTTGATAATGTGTCGGGTGCACCTCCAATATGTGTTGGGTGGGTGGGTGAATGCAGAGCCAGGGACTGAGCACGCAGGCGCTTGCCCTACTCTCGTCCCCTCCAGGTCATTCAAATGGGGCGAATCGGACCCTCTGCCTTATGCTGTGTATGGCCACGCGGTTCTCTCCCATATGGACCTTGTGTACGTCATTGGCGGCAAAGACAGCAACAGGTGAGGCTGGGACCTTGAGTCAGTGCAGCTGCAGGGTTGTAGCTTAGAGCTGGAGGGACTGGGCCAAGGGAGAGGAGGCTCTGCTCCAGCTTCCTCCCACTAATTCACTGCCCCCCATCCCACAGGAAGTGCCTGAATAAGATGTGCGTTTATGACCCTAAGAAGTTCGAGTGGAAGGAGCTGGCACCCATGCAGACTGCCCGCTCACTCTTCGGGGCCACCATCCATGACGGTCGCATTTTTGTGGTTGCTGGGGTCACAGACACAGGGCTGACCAGTTCAGCCGAGGTGTACAGCATCGCAGACAACAAGTATGGCTGCTTGCACACCCCCCCTCCACCTCCCTGCCCCTTCCCCAGGCAGGATAGCAAGGGACCAAGGGCCCCACTGTAACCACCCTGCTGTGTTGCTTTGGGCCTATTGTCAGCCCTCTGTGTCTGCCCTGGCAGGAACCATAGCCCTGGTCTTGGGTTTCCACTCTTGAGCTTGGACATCAGCACAGAAATAGCCCCTCCCCCCTGATCAGCTGGGAGGTGGGCTTCCCCCACAAGGTGAGGCAAGGGTTATGGCCAGCCTGGTCTGCAGGAGATAGCTCCCAGGAGTGGGGTAGGAGATGCCGGGTTCCTCATTCAGAGACTCATATTGGGCACTGGCCTGGTGCTAGGGATGCAGCGGTGAACAAGACAGAAGCTCCCCCACTCTGGGAGGTCAGGAAAGAGAAAACTGAGCTGGTGGACCAATTGGACTCAGCCGACAAAAGGGGTGGTGGGAGAAGGAGGCCCCGGGCAAAGGAAAGTTGGTGCCAAGGCAGTTAGGAGAAAAATAGGCAGGGCCCACTGGAGGAAAGGGCGTTGCTCAGGTTGGATGGAGTGTGGTGGGTGAAGGGAGGTGGGGATGGGGTTCTGGGGCTGGAGAGGCAGCAAGCAGGGCTCAGGGACTTTATCCTGAGGGCAATAAAAAGCCTCTGACGGGTTCTAAGCTCCCATCTGTGTTTTACTAAGACGCCTCACTGCAGCTGAGGTAGAGAACAGATTAGGGATTTCCCAGGAGGCAGAGATGCAGCTGTATAGCAAGAGGTGATGGTGGCCGGGAGATGAGGGTACAGTGGGGATGGGGCAGAGGGGATGCACTGGAGAAGGACTTAGGCCAGGGCTTCTCATGTGCACACAAATCTCCCAGGGATCATGTTGAAATGCAGATTCTGATTCTCAGGTCTGGGACCTAAGGGCATACTTCTAACAAACCCCCAGGGGATGCTGATGGTCCATGGACCACACTTTGAGTAGTGAGAGTTTAGGAGATAAAAGAAATAGGAATTAGCGACTGATTGGATGTTGAGGGCGAGAGCGAGAAGTGGATGCTTTTGAGTGAGGGTGGGAGGTCGTTTTTTGGAGAACTATTGGAGTTAGGTAGGAGAAGGGAGAGTCCAGTTAGGACCTGAGGTGCCTGGGAGTGTCCAGGAGGAGCCAACTGGGCAGAGAGGGTTGAGCTGGAGGGAGAGATCTGGGGGTCAACAGTACACAGAGGGACAAGCTCCCTCAGGAGAGAGGGTGTAAGTGGGAGAAGCTGAGGCCCAAGCCCTGAGGGAGGGTGGGAGCAGATGCAGCATCCAGGAAGGAGTCTGAGGAGGTGAGGCTGGGGAGGTGGCACGTGAAGAAAGTCACGTCAGCAGAGGTGTGTGCTGTGGGCCTTAGATTTCAAAGCCCGGTGGTGGTTGGGCACCTGGGAGCAGTTTTGGAGGGTGGGGATGAAGGCCCAACTTCAGGAGCCAGAGGAGGGGAGTGAGGTAACTGGGCTTGAGAGTAATTGGGCTGTGAAGGGGAGAAGAGGGATGGGGCAGGAGGGCAAGGGGTTGGGGGCTCAATGGCCATTGAGGTAGCAAGGGGAGTTAGTTCAGGAGCAAAGGAGGGACATTGGGGAGATCCAGGGTGGATTTCACAGGGCAGGTTGGATGGAATGACAAGGGGACAATGAAGGGAAATGGGAGGGGCAAGAGAATGGGGAAGGAGTGAAGACCAGAGGGCGTTCCTGAGAGGGTCAGGAAACAGGAGGCTCTGCTGAGAGCGTGGGTGTCTGGGATTCGGATTTCAAGGGGGTGCAGCTGAAGCTGTGGGTGCTGGGGTGGGACAATCACTGGGCTCACTGAGGCCCCCGGGTGATGCACCTCCTCACGCCCCCACCTCCCCGCCAGGTGGGCGCCCTTTGAGGCCTTCCCGCAGGAGCGCAGCTCGCTCAGCCTGGTCAGCCTGGCGGGCACCCTCTATGCCATCGGTGGCTTTGCCACGCTGGAGACGGAGTCCGGGGAGCTGGTTCCCACAGAGCTCAATGACATCTGGAGGTGAGTCCGGCCCCAGGGAGGTGAGGGGCATCACGAGCAAGGCTGATGCCCCCACAGCACGGTGGTCAGGCACCGAGGTGCCTGGCAAACTCATCTGGGGACAGAGCTGATCCCTCTTCCAGGGACTCCTGTCGGGCAGGGGCGGCAGACATGCCTTGCTCATCCCCGAGAGAGAGAGCCGGAGGGTTCTCTCTGGTTTGGTTGGGAAAGTCTAGGTTTGCACATATGGCACCACGCCCCACTGTGGGGCATCAACAGTGTCACAGTCAAGAGCTGACCCCAGGCTCAGGGCACAGACCCACGGAAAGAGGCCCCAGGGAGTAGAGGGGGCCCTGACGAGGCAGCCAGGATGCTTGCTCTGGAGGGGAGAGCTGGGGCCAGGATTGAGAAGTAGCTGGAGCCCAGCTTCTCAGAGCCATTGCTTTCCATGGCTGGTCCTTCCTGGGGGCAGAGGGGAGAGGTTTCAGCCACCTGGGGCACCTTGGGAGCCTTCAGTTATCCCCTCCACTGCAGGCAGCCTCTAGAGAGCATGCTGCAGGGAGAGTGGGACTCGGGGGGACTTCTTGGGGTGCTGAGTACAGAAATTCTCAAGAGGAGGGGGTTGGGGAGATGTGGGCCTTCCTGGAGGGAAGTGGACTTCAAGGAGTGAGGGATTCCTTGAGAGGTGGCCCTTCCTGGAATGTGGGGTGGGTGTTCTTTGGGGGTGGGCCTTGTGGGGGGGCCCTTTCCCAGAGCATGGGAATTCTCCAGAAGCAGGCCTTCCTGGAGAGGGGCCTGCAGCTTGGGGGGTGGGGGGGAACACGCCTTAGGGTGGGCCTAGTGCACCCAGCCACTCCTCCCTGCTGGGGCCCACTCTGGCCTCTGCTGACCAAGCTCCTCATCCCTGTCCCCACTCCCTCCCACCCCCAGATATAATGAGGATGAGAAGAAGTGGGAAGGCGTCCTGCGGGAGATTGCCTACGCAGCTGGTGCCACCTTCCTACCGGTGCGGCTCAACGTGCTGCGCCTGACCAAGATGTGACCAGCCCAGAGAGCCTGAACCAAGCACCCCTCCCATCCTGCGGCCCACACAGGCCTGGCCTTCTGGGAGCTCCAGGGGGGAGGCTGGGAGAGGCCAGAGCCCACCAGGATCCGTCTGGTACCCAAGGGGCTGCTTTAGCCAGGAAATGGAGACCGCTGCCCAGTCCTAGCCTTTTGGGCAGGGATGAGAAACTCGAGCCCTCTCCGGTGTCTCCATATCCCCCGGTCTTCTTGGTGCATGAGCCAGAACCGCAGGGAGGCGTCCCAGGCCGTGTTCTGGCCCAGCCCCGGCCTGGCTGTGTGTGCCAGTCAGGTTCCCACAGGACTCAGTCTCCTCACCTGTCATATGGGGAGTGTCCCCATCAAGAACTCCCTGCAGTATGGATAAGTCTCCTTCTGTAAGAAGAATAAAGTGCCTTCTAAGCACGTGGCTCAGGGTCTGGAATCAGGTGCTCTGAGTCAGTGACCAGGTGATTTGAAGATTCAGGGCTTCAATGCTCAGCTGTTGGGTTGCCAAGGTTGGTGGTCTCTGCCCTCCACGTGGTGTCTCCTCCACACTCTATGTGTGCCAAGAGCTTGACCTCCCTCTCTGAGGCCCAGAACCTGCAGCTCCTCATCCAGCATGGACAAGGAGCCAGAAGGCTGCTGGGGGAAAGGTCAGGGAACAGCTGAACTGTGGTAGAAAAGTCTTTTATTCTATCAGTCAGGCCCCATCTGGCCTGGCCTGGGCCTGGGCCCAGGAATAGCTGAGCAGAGCCCTCCCCCTTCCTCCTCCCACCTACTCCAGCTTCTCTTTGTCCTGCTTCTGCTCCTCCTCCAGAGCCAGGGTTCGCTCTCGCTCCTTCACCAGCTGGACACCACAGTAGGTGACAAACAGGACAGCCAGTGTGGTCTGGGGGAACCCTGTGTGGGGAAGAGGTCATCAATGCCTGGGAGCAGCATCCCCTCAGAAACTCTTCTCTACCTAGGCCTCTCCCCACTTAACTGGCCCTCCCTGCTGAGTCCCTGGGGAAGTGGGGTGGGTGGGGGCATTTCAGAAGGTCACAGTCCTCAGGGTTGACGTCTGGCACATTCTGTATCCCCACACCCCTGTCCCTCACCTGTGAGTAGCAGGCGCCGGACGACCAGCTCTGTGAACTCGAGGCTGTTCAGGCTTACAAGGTTGTACGTGACGATAGCCCAGAAGTTCATGGCCCCAAAGACAGCCCGGACCCTGCGGGACGTCTGCTCCGACAGAGAGGCCTGCCCGGTCCAGGAAAGCATTGGCAGTGAGGCAAGAGGCCCAAGGGAAAGAAGATGTGGTTGTTCAGAGATCTTGCCCACAGGGCCATCCAGGTCCTGGGGATATGTTTGTGTCTCTGAGAGTCCTAGGTCAGCTCTCCCTCATAGTTAAAGATGGGGAAACTGAGGTCTGGAGAGAGGGCAGGGCCTGACCAACAGAGCCAGGCCCGGGTGCCCCACACCACGCAGAAGTTAGAGAGGGCCATTTACCCACAGGGGGAGCCATTGCTCTGACAACCAGGAGGGTGGTGATGAGAAAGTTATGGACTGGGGGCCAAGTGTGGCTGCAAGACTCCAGAGAGCAGTAGTGCCACCCTATCTAGTGACCCAGCCAACCCCAGCGCCAGACCTTCCCTGCTCACCTCAATTTGCGCTAGCGGCCCCAATTCTGCCAGCTTCTGCACCCAGAGCTCAAAGTTGAGGCCAAAGCAGTTAAGGAATGACCACAGGTAGACGATATCACAAGGCCCGAGCCACAGAGTGGTGATGGAAAATGTGGCCACAGTGGCCCCCAGCTCTGGGATCACCTTGGAGTGCTCCCCACCAATGTGGTTGTACACGTACCTGTGGGAAAGGCAGGAGAAGGGGCGGGTAGCAGTGTGGGAATGAGCAGGTGGGAGATGGGTAAAGGACACACGACAGGGGCAGCCCTACTCAACGCTGTCATCCTGGGCACATTCAACACTGCTGACCTCAAGTGGCTGCTCCTTCTCTACCCAGCCTCAAAATGTGGAGGGCTCAGCCTCAAACTTCGTATCTTCTCTAGCTTTGTTCATTCAATCCTCAAGTGATCTCAGCCAGACCCAAGATTTTGAATACTGTCTCTATGCTGGTTAGCCCTAAGTCTGTGACGTTAGCCCACTTTCTCCTGACTCATATATCCAACTGTTACCAGACGTCTCACTTGAATGACTGATGCCCCTATCCCTGCTCAAACCCACTCCATTCCCATCTTAGTTAATGACACTACCATCCATTCAGCTGCAGGCCAGAAGCCTTGGTGCCATCTTGGACTCTCAATTCCCCTCTCTATTCATATCCAAGCCAGCAAATACGATGGGCTCCACTCAGTCCTGACCACTGCTCACCACCTCCACTACCACCACCCTAGTCCATCTCCTCTCACATAGATTATTGCAAGAGCCTCTTAAGTCGGCTCCTTGCTTCTGCCTTTGCCCCCCTACTGTCTGTTCTCTGCACAGCAGCTAGCCGCATCTTCTAGGAGTATAACTCAGATCACATTACTTCCACAATTAAACCCTCCCCCAATAAAACCCTCCCCCAATAGCTTCCCATTATGATTAGCATAAGCTCAACCTCCTTACAATGGCTGGAAGATCCCACGTTGTCTGGTTTCAGCCTCCCTCCCTGACCTCATCACCCACCATTCTTGCCCTCCCACACACACACAGCTGGCTCCCGCCTCAAGGCCTTTGCACATGTTGTTCCCTCTACCTGGAATTATCTCCCCCAGATTTCCTCATCACTCAAGTCAGTTCGAATATCACCTCACAGAAGCCTGCCCAGACCCCAACTATAGAAGCTTTATCCTGTGTCCAGCTTCTGTCCCATTGCCCTGTTTTATTTTCTTCCTAACGCTTACCACTCTCCAGAATTATCGATGTGTTCATTTACATGTTTACGGTCTGTTTCTCCCTACTAGACTGTAAGCTCCATGAGTTCAGGGTTTTTGCCATGTTCATGCTGTATCCCCAGTGCCTAGAACACTGCCTGGCACATGGTAGGTGCTCAATAAATATTTGTTAAATAAATTTAGTGGAAGACTCATTGAGTAACTAGCCTCTCTGTCCCCTGACCTCCTCATTTCCAGTGGGTTCATCTCCACTCCACCTCTGCCACCCACTCACATGGCCACACCCCAACTTTGTCACCACTTGAAATTTCACTCCTTCCTAATTACCATTCTTCACCCAGCCCCTCCTGACCTGGCCCCCTGGCTCCAGTTCTTCAATCTCACTGACACCCGCCCTCCTCATCTTGTGATCCCTCCTATCTTCACCACACGCCGTAACAGGCTTATATTCAATGAGTCATCACTATAAATAACCTAAAACCCCCTATCCCTCACTTCTTCCTTTTCAGCCATCTGAGAGAGCCTAGTCACCCACTTTTTCCTCACCAGCACCCAAGAAGCTAAGCCCCGATGGGGAAAATCTCACACCTTCACATATTAGAGTCCATAAATCCACTACCTCCAATCCCACCTGGGCCCTCAATGCCAAGATTTCTCTAGTCAGCGTCTTCCTCCATGCTCTGCAGTGGCTACTCCCCCCTTACCTCTCCTTGCCAAGTATGAGTGAGCGTGGGGGGATCTAGGCAGAAGGGAAGGAGGCACACAGATGCTGCCTCTCTCCATGTCCCCAACCCTGCATCTCTCAGCTGATGACCTTGACTCCTACTTCATGGAGAAAACCGAAGCCTGCAGGTGGAATCCCTTACCTTTCTCCACTAACCTGCCATCCTTCTGCATCCACACTGGCTTCTCTTTCTCCTCCCCATCCTGAAGCGAGGCCTGTGCCTGGCACTGGTTCCATTTCCTCCTCCCTCTTCAGGGACCTCCCTCCATCAGTCACCCCCCTATCCTGCCTTACCAACCTCTTCCTCTCTATTGAATAATTCCCCTCAGCAGTCAAGCATGTCCTATTTCTTCCCGTCTTTAAAACACCCCACTTCTCCCTGCAGCCACTCCTCTGTCTTCCCTCAGTACCAGGCTTCTTCCAGGAGTTGTCCACACAGGAACTCCCCTGTAGTTCCTCGGCTTCCTTCACTGCTCGCCTGCCCCTGCCCCTCCAGTGAAGGGCTGAACACCTCCGAGCCACCAACACTAACGCTCAGTCTCTAGCTTCCTTGACCCCAGCAGCACCTGAGCCAGTTGCCCTCACCATGCCTGGATGTTCTTCCCCTAGTTTCCAGGGTGTCACAGGGTCTTGACTTGACTGCTCTGACCACCCCTTCCAGTCCCTTCTGCTGTCTCTTCCTTCTCCCTTCAACTGGTGTCCTTCCAGGCCCAGCCTCAGCTATCCCTTCTCTCCTCTTCTTACTCTTCCTCCTTTGGACTTATCCACTCCCAAGGCCTAAAGACCACCCACCCCCTCATAATGCTCAGAGTCCCATCAGTCTTCAGACTCCTCTGAACCACAGACCCTCAGACCCAACCACCGCCCTGAACCTCCACAAGGATGTCTCCCAGATTCCAAGCAGACACTTCTCAAACTGAACCCCTCTCCATCCTCCCAGGCTGCCGATAGGAATCTGGGAGTCATTTCCCTCTCTTTCCTGATACTCCCAATCCATGGCCAAGTCCTGTCCAGGCTGCCTGCTGTGTGTCTCTACTCCGACCATTTCTCTCACCTCCAGGGCCCCCGCCCAAGTCTAAACCTCTATATCTTTCATCTGGACCTCTGTGATGATTTCCTCACTGCCCTCCTCGCTTCCTCTGGCCCAGGAGTGATCTTTTAAAACAGAGACCAATCTTGGCAACGCCCTGTTCAGACACCTGGCAGGATAGCTGTGGCCATCCCCCCACCCCACCCCAACTCACTTGCAAAGCCAGTCGTTGATGCCTCTGTCAAAGTGCCTGTTGGAGGAGAGCAGACGGGTGTGAATCAGCCAGGAGCAGACTCAGGGGCCGTGGTGGGAGAGGCAAAGAGAAGGTGGGGATCCCAGGGGCGCGTCCCCGGGGCCCCGCACGCACGTTTCCGCGAAGACGTAGAGCGCTGTGATGCACTTGGGAGGCTGGGGCGGGTCCAAGTGGTCGAGGCGCGCCACGGTGTTGACGACGCCGAAGAGGACGGCCGCCTTCACCCAGTCGTACACCAGGTTTGAGTAGGCTAGGCCAGCTGGGGACAGGGGGTCGTCACTGCCTGGGTGGCGTCGTGCCGGCCTCCCCTCCCCGGACTCCCTAAGTCCGGGGGAGGTGCTGAGCCCGGCCCTCCCCTCCGGAAACTCTCTCCCCAGGTCTTGGGGGAGGTCCTTGCGCCAGGACTGCCCCCACGGAGACCCCGCCCCCCGCTTCCTGGGGGAGTGGCGGGACCCGCCCGCCGCGGGGGGACCCCAACCGGTTGGTGGAGATCCGCCCCAGGCCCCAGTGAAGTGGGGTGGAATCCGTCGGATACCGCTTGACTTCACAGGACAAACCTAACTCAAAGTCCCACGCATTTCAAAGTCCCACGCTCCCCCACCCTTGGATGGGTACTGTGCCCCCTAGGGACGTCAACTGCCCTAGCTGTGATGCTGTGGGGGCGCAGAGGGTCCGTCTTTCTGGAGTGGCGGCCCTGGGCCCGGCGCGCACCCACCGAGGGCGCTGTCCGTGAGGCGGTTGGCGAACTTGAGGTCACTGGGGATGGTGAGGATGTAGAAGAAGTGAAAGAAGATGTCCACGGCAATGATGGCCACCACGCTGAGGCCCGCCTGGGCCCGGATGCGCCACAGCTCGCCCTCGCGCCTCACCGGCTCCGCCAGGCTCACCTGGGGGATGCCAAGTGTCTGAGGGGGGAGGCAAGCTCTGCCGGAGGAGCTCTGGAGGAGCTCTGTCTGAATGGGAAGTCGTCAATTGCCTGGGGATCTGAGGGTGGGGGGAAACGCTGCTTCATCCTGGCAGCCCTGCCTGAGGGTGGAGACACAGGCCACTCTGGTGTCTCAGGAGGGTTCACAGCCTCCCAGGGGCGACACGGTCCTGTCTTGGGAGGCCCATTTGAGTGGGAGGGGAGTCTTGTCTGAGGGAGGAGACAAGTCTGCATCCTGTGATCCCCATCTGAGGGGGGAAATGGGATCCTGGGGTCTGAGGAGCAGGGAGTCATGGCTTTATCCTGGGGTCATGCCTGAGGATGGGGACACAGCCTGCCCTGGGAGTCCTATCTGAGAAGGGAGCTCCTTTCTTTCTTTTTTTTTTTTTAATTTTTTGTTTATTGCAGTAACATTGATTTATAACATTGCATAAATTTCAGGTGTACATCATTATACTTCTATTTCTGCATGGATTACATCAGGGGAGCTCGTTTCTGAAGAGGGAGACCCAGCCCTGCTCTGGGAGTCCACAAGGGGTCCCCTCACCTGGGCGTGGAAGCGATCGAAGGTCATGATGGGCCCGAAGAAGAAGAAAGGCAGGTAGAAGTTGTACTTGAGCAGGTCGGCTAGGGAGTAGCGGCGATCGGGGTGGGCACAGCTCTCCAGCGCAAAGCTGGTACAACGTAGCACTGTGAAACCACTGCCCCCATGAAACAGCACCTCTTGAAGATCAAAAGTGCCTGTTACAAACCCGCTCTGGATGGGAGAGAACAGGCCGCCAGCTCACCAGGTGCCCCTCATCTCTGGGAAGCCCACCCAGCTGCCCACAGGGGCCCAGCCTGATCCTGCCCCTTTCTGTCTTCTAGAGCCAGTGAACATTGGCCACTGAGGGCTAACTCATGGTAAGTGCTGGCATAGAGCAGGGACTGAGTGGGACACGTACCCGCTGTGGTGGAGGTGACCACCTTGTGGGCAGGGCGTACTGCATGGTCAAAGGCTTTGAAACAGGTGGGAGAGTGAAGGAAGTGCTTGGGGAGACTTGGGGGGCAAGGGCTGTGGATGAGGTGAGAGGTTTGGGGTCCTATCCCTGCACCCTCCACCCCTGCCCTGCCCCAGTGCACACCTGCCAGGAGATTAGGGGGTCCAGCTTGAAGGAGGCAAGGCTGGCCAGGCCCAGGCTGAGACAGAGCCAGGGCTGGCCCAAGAGTGAGGCCACATAGAGACCCACACAATGGCCAAGCAGCAGCAGCAGGTACCAAGGGCCCATCGTGCCCACCACGGCCAGGGCCCCATACACAGCATACATCCAGGAGCGGAGCTGTGGACAGGGAGAAGGCTTCGTTTACCTGTCCATACAAATGGAAGTGGGACCCCAGGATGGCTTCCCCAAAACCCTTGTAGCTGAGGAGGAGCTGGCAGGGGAGGCTGGGGTGGCTCAGGTCTGGCTCACCTGGGGAGCAACCATCGTGCAGAATTTAGCAAACAGCACATGTCCAGAGAGGGCGAAGATGATGACATTGCGGAAGGAGGTGAACCACATCACCCACTCGAAGTCAGCCACATCCTGGAGCAGGTCCGGGCAGGTTAAGGTGGGCAGGGGCAGGATGGGCTGGCACTTGGACTGGTCAGAGTCCCTGCACATTCCCAGCCCCTATATTCTTCTTATGCATTAGAGGGGAACAATGGCTGGAGGTCCCTGCCTTCACCTCTGAGGGAAGTACCAGGTAGGTAGGTAGAGAGGAATGAGGGACAACATGTGGGCTGCCCAGCCCCTCAAAGCTCCCCATCTGCTCAGCCACTGCCTGACATTCCACCATTATTGCGTTGTTCCTGGGAGGGATGGTGCTGGAGGCCCCTGCTGAAGCACGTTTCAATTTACTTCCTAAATGAGCAGGGTCTGGGGCAGGTTTGATGTGGCCCCGGGAGGACACAGGGAGGGCCAGTGGAGAAACTGAAGGAGCTGAAGCTCAAGCCAGAGACCCTCCCCCTTATGAGCCCTCTGTTATGTGGAAACATCTGGAATAAGGGAGAGTAGGGAAGGGTTTGGGATGAGAGAGATGTGCTAGGGGTCATGGACCCAGTCAGGGACCTGGGCTGTGGGGGACCTACCATCTTCCGGCCAATGTACTCCCAGCCGGGTCGCACAGACTCCCGGAAGGCCTTCCTGTGGGCCCCATCTGAGAACAGAGTGCGGCCTCAGGGTGGGGGGAGCCCTTCACATACACCCCCCTCCATCTGCCCCTATAGCAAGGCTGACTCCCACCCTGGGAGTAGGGGAGTGGGTCTGCGTCTCTCTCTCTCTCTCTCTCTCTCTGCCTCTGCTTCTCTCTGGTTTCACTGTGTGTCTGGGGCCAGGTCTCTGATTGGATCCCTGAGTGTCAGAGTGTCTCTCTCTGTCACTCTGTGTCCAGGTCTCTGTCAGTGCCTCTGCGTCTGTGTCTCCCTGTTTCTGCACCAGCCTTAGCCCATCCCCCAGGGCCTAGGGAATACACTGGGTCTGGAACCGCTAAGTTTCCGGCCTTGCTGGTTGGAACCCTGAGGTCCCCAGGGGAAGAAGGGTCCCACCCCCCCTGCCCCAGGGCCCGGCTGTTACCTTGTGAAGCCTCGAGGAGGCCCCGGCCAGCATAGGCCAGGGCCCCACTCAACACCAGGGAGTATAGGCCCAGCTCTGCTGCAGGCAATGATGTCTTGATGCCCATAGCCTGGATGGGGCTGGGGGAGACAGATTGGGTGAGGGCACTGCTGCCCCCCAGCCCTGCCTAGCCCCACCTCATCGTCCCCCACTGAGGAGGTGGTGACCCCATCTGAAGAGAGACTGTCTCTCCTGCCATCATTCTCCCCTCCCCCCTCTCCCCCACTCCTCCCAGGCCCCCCAACATCTGGTGCTCCATCCTAGCTGCTGGTCTAGCTCCTGCCTTTCCCACTGAAGGCTCTTGAAAGCATAATCTTCACTCAGCCTGCCTTCCTCACCTTCATTTCCTCCTCCATACTTTTTGCGGGGACCTGTCCCCACCCTCTGTTCAAACTGCTCCTGCCAAGACCTCGGATGACCTTCATGTGGAGAAACCCCATCTGTATCATCTAAATCATGTTTTTGGCCCCCAGGGTCCCCATCCTCCTCAGTAAGCCCTCCTCAGCTCCTAACACAGCCCCACCTCCTCCATGCCCCCTTTCCTGATTTCCACACCCCTCCTGAGCTGTCTTTACCTCCAGTGATCTCCCCAGGTCCTGCCCCCAGCACCAAGCCTCCATCCCTCTCATTCAGCCTCTAGTTTCTCACTGACCCCCATTGCCCCAACCAGTCCCTGAGCCCCAGCCTGCCACGTCCCTGGTCCCTGCCTGCGTCCGTGGCCACACCGGCCCACTCTCTCAGTGCTCTGTGTATTCAGGCCCTGGATGCTGGCTGGAGACTGTGCTATTTGAAGAGGTGCCCTGGGGTAGTGGGTATGGGCCCAGGCAGGGCCCAGCGGGCACCAGGGAGGGTACTGGCCACTGTCCAAGGTGCTGATCGGTATCGGGCTCAGGGTGAGCCTAGCTACTCCCTCCTGCCAGGGCCTAGCTCGTCCCTAGAAGTCCTGCTGTGCCATCCCTGGCATCTCAGCTAGCACCTATGCCCTTCCTATCCTGCTCCAGCCTGGCATGGGGCCTTCCCAAGGGCCCCATGGGTACAGACTCAGGGCCCAAATTAAAGGGAGGAACATGTCTAGGCACCCTCTTGGGCTGGGCTGGGCCAAGAAGTGGCTGGCATGGCCCTGTCTCCCACCCCAGATCCTCCTCCAGATCCCCCTCACCAGCCCTACAACCAGATCTCCCAGTCGGCATTCTCCCCACTACACAGATGGAGGGGTCATGCACCAGAGAGGGGCAGGGACATGTCAAGGTCACACAGCGAGCCTGGTACAGGATCAAGTGTTCTCAGTGAGCCCCTCTGGAGTCTCAGATAAGAGAAGAGCGTCCACTGCCCCTGCCCATGCCAGGGGGCTGCCGGGCCTGACTTCTGCACTGCCGGCCTGAGGGCTGATGCACCTCCTCATCGGCTGGGTGGGGGTAGGGAGGCCCCGAGGATCGGGTTAATGGAGCAGGAGCTTGAAACCGGAGCACAGTGAAGAGTCCGCGAAATAGCTTTGTCAGCTGCCTCCCACTCGCCACTTTCCAATTTTAGCTCCCCATGGCCGGTGCAGGGTGTCCCCAGTGAGGCCTCTGTGAACAGGGCCAGGGCTGGCCCCCCGCCTGGGACCTCTCCCGATAGACCCCCGGACCTGGGCCAGGCTGTGGTACAGGGGTGCTCTCTGCCCTTTGGGCCTGCTTGCCTCAGGTACACCTGGAGTAAAGCTCACTTTAGGGCCCGAGGTCTGGAATGGGAGACCTAGGGTGGGCTCCACAGGTCTCAAGGACCCCAGGGTGGCTGCATCCCCAGCTGGCACTGACCTTGAAGAGGCTGTGAGGGACCCTGGCACACTGCCCCCCTCAGGGCTCCGAGGTCCTGCGTCCGACCTTGCGTTCGTCCGACCAGCTGGGCTCTGGGGCCACGATGGGGTGTGTCCAGCCCTGGGGTCCCCACCCCCTCGAGGCTATGAGCGGTAAGTGCTGACAGCAGGAGGAGGGGAGGAGGAGGGCAGGGAGGAGGTGGCCTTCCTGGAGTGGAGCTGAGTGAAGTGGAGCAGAGCCGAGTGCTGCAGAGCTGCTGGCCACAGGGAGCCGTGGGGAGGATCAAGGTAGGGGTGGGGGGAAGGGGTGGCCAGTGGCATAGGCTTAGACAGGGACACCTGGGCCTCACTTCAGCCAGCTCCCCCTGGTCCGTAGAGCCTGTGGCTCCCTCTCACTGCTGGGCAGGACTCCCCTCTTCCAGGAAGCCTTCCGGGTGGTCCCCACTGGTCTTCTAGGCTTGTGAGCTCTGCCCCCACTGCACAGACACTCACTCACACACACTGACACACATGTACATACTTACACACTTTTACGCTCAGCTCTATGAACTCCAGCCCTCACCTTTACATGTGAACTCCTGAGGGATGTCCCAGGGCAGACCATCCAGCTCCCTGCCCTGGTTCATTTCATCAGGCCGAGAATCCTGGCTGGCCAGGCATCGGTGCCCAGTAGACCACTAACTTGCCTAGTGGGATTGTAACTTTTATTACACTATATTGTTATAATTGTTCTATTTTTTTTATTAGTTATTGTTAATCTCTTACTGTGCCTAATTTATAAATTAAACCTTATCTCAGGTATGTATGTATAGGAAAAAACAGTATATATAGGGTTCGGTACTATCTGCGGTTTCAGGCATCCACTGGGGGTCCCCCGCACAGATAAGGGGGAACTACTGTATACAGTAATAAAAGTTACCATAGATCTTAGCAAACTCAGCATATGATTTTATTTTCTGTCCTTATTAAGTCGAGAACTTTAATCTTTTCACTTAAAGGAAGCATTTTACAGCTTCTCTCTGGCATATCCGAATTGCCAGCATCACTACCCTTGCACTTTGGGGCCATTAAGTAAAATAAGGGTTACTTGAACACAAGCGCTGTAATACCACCACAGTCGGTCTGATAACTGAGATGGTTATAAGTGACTAATAGGCAGGTAGTATATACAACATAGATACGCCAGACAAAGGGATGATTCACATCCCAGGCAGGATGGAAAGGCATGGCGCAAGATTTTGTCATGCTACTCAGAATGGCGGACAATTGAAAACTTATGAATTGTTTCTTTCTGGCATTTTCCACTTAATATTTTCAGACTGTGGTTGACTGCGAAAAATCTCAGAAAGTGAAACCACAGGTAAGGGGCGGACCTCTGTACATGGTTAACTCCTTAATGTCACCAAATTCATAGGGAAGGGGTTACCATTAACCCCAGTTGATAGAAAAGGAAACGCATGCACAGGGAGATTAAGTAGTTGGGTGAGCCCCATCAGCTTCTGGAGCTGATCGTCCTGCAGGGGTGAGAACCCAGCCCACCCACACCTCGTGCAGGCCGAGACCAGCCTGGGCCAGCCATCCAGTTGGTGGCCTCCTAAAGCTGGAAGAGAATGGCCCAGGGAAGCAGAAGGGGCTGTTTGGTTCCACGGCTAAGAGCACAGGTTCAGCCAACTGACGTGAGCCTGAGCTCCGCCTCGCTGGTGCCATCCACTTCTCTGAACCTCAGCTCCTCATTTGTAAATGGGCATACTGCCGGCCCTGACCTCTTCCGGTTCATGGGGGGATTCCATGACTCACTCCATGACAAGGGTGAGGCTCACTGAATTGCTCATAAAGAGAGGCTGTTAGAGAGGCAAAGACAACCTCACTCCAGAGGCCCAGAGAGGCAGGACTCACACACAGCAGGAGGAGATTTTTACTGGGTGACCCCCATGCAGGGGGGCTGTAGGGAGCTTGGCATGTGGGGATGACAGGAGGGGTGAGGGCTAGGGAGGCCCTTGGACCTAGGGCTGGACAGCCGGAGACCAGCTCCACCTTGTGTGAGGGGTGGGGTGCCTGGGATGGCAAACCCACAAAACGAGGGGCAGGAAGCTGACTGGGCTAAGACCAGCACAAGGGCCTGGGGTCACTTCCTAAATGCCGCAAGGGCCACTGAGAAAGATGTGGCAGGCGGGGGGACCAATTCTCTCAAGTCTCAGAGTCCCTTTTCATCTCTCACTTTTTTGTTGTTGCTCAAAGTAAAAATGTGTGGAAAGTATCCTATGTGTGTGTATAATTGTGTTTTGTGTTGGTTGTGTGTGGGGTCTGTGTGTGTTTTGTGTTGTAGGCTGTTTATGGCATGTGTATGCTGCATGCATTATTTATGCACGTGTGTTGTATATATATGTGTGTGATGTGTGTACTGTGTTTGTGTGTGTATGCAAGGCTCAGGGACTGTAGGAGAGAAAGCGTGTGTGGAGAGGGGGTGGGCAGGCAGAGACTTCCTTGTGGGGTGGCTGTGGCTTACTGCGGGAGGAGATGGGGAGGAGAGGCTGGTTCTGGCAACTGGATGTGCAAGCCCAGAGGAGGACTCTCACTGCAGGCCACCCTGCCCTTGGCTCCTGGGAGCACGGGAGAGGCCCAGTGGCAATGAATTGTGTTTGGGGCTCGAATCAGCCTGAGCCAGGCTACAACAATGCCCAGCTCAACTGTGGTGCCCCAAAGGCCCCCACGGGGATGATGGCCAAGCCACACCCATGGCCCAACCAGGTCTCACCTGTCAGTGTTGGAATCTGAGCGCCCAGGCCTGCAGCACCTGCCTGGGGTGCAGCCAAGGGAGCCTTCCCATGAGGCCTCTCTATCACCCAGTCTCCTGTCCTCGCCCCTCCTCCCTTCAGGCCCATCTCCCCCTCCCAACATCACCACCTTGTGGCTCTGGGCCAGGATCTCCGTGTTCTCATCTGTGAAAGGCAAGTCCAGCCCACTTGCTGCCCATAGGCCTGAGGGCTGGGGAGGTCATTCTCAGGGTCCCAGGGAAGGTAGTGCTGCTCAGGAGGGACCAAGGGCAATAACCTGGGCAGAGCAGGCTGCCCCACTCCCTGCCTGGCCCAGTGGGTTAGATCCTTCAGGGCCCCAGTCCTTGGCTCCTTTGACAATCCCTCTTTCCCTTAAAGATCCTGCTGCCAGGCTCTCCTGGGCCTTCCCCTTCTACCCTCCACCTTCCCACACCTCAGGGAGGTATGAAGGACAGCCCCTCCCTGCCCAGATCTGGGCAGTGAGCCTGGGAGCCACAGCAGGGAAGGTGGGAGGCTCTGAGGCACCCCATTCTGTCTCTGCATCCCCCCCACCACCACCCTGTACCCTCCCTCTCCATCATAGCCCTCTGTTTCCCATGCCTCTCTGCCTGGACCAGCAGCTCCCTGAAAGCAGCGGGGAATCAGATTCACCTCCGTGCCCCTCACAGGCCTGGAGAGGCTGGTTTGCGGTCGGTACTCACTGACCATCTGTGGCCTGCTGGCTGAGTGGACGGTGGCCTGTGCGTCTGTCTCCCCAGCTGGCCTGGGGCTTCCTGGAGATTGGGGACTGTGTCTGCCTCACCCGGCACCCCTGTGCCTGGGGTAGAGGAGCTGCTCACAGGTATTTGTTGAACCAATACAGATAATACTAAGGGTTAATGTTTATTGAGTGTTTACTGTGTGCCAGCCTCTGCTCTAATACTTGACAGTTTTTAACTCAGTGACTCCTGAAGAGGGATTCTGACGGGGAATGGAGCTGACCTGGTCTGACTATGCAGGGGGAGCAGAGGTCAGGTGCCAGCAGCCGGGACATAGCTCCACAGCAAAGCTCTCAAGGTGACCCGTGGAATCTGTACATTGAAACTGTTGTCTTTGTACCCATAGTTGGCTGAAGCAAAGACTGAATGCCCAGACTGACCCCTGCAAGATGCCAGCTAATCAGTTTACCCAAAAATGTGCAAACAAGATTTACCATGCCTGACTGCGGTTTTCCTTCCCTCCCTCTTATTTAAATCCTGTGTTTATCGTTGTGGAGTGAAATTAATCTGTCGATACGTGCCCCTTTTACGGAAGTCAACAGCAAGCTAACAATCAGCTAAATGTCTTTGAGTTATTCCTTGACACTTACAACAGCCCTTGAGGGAGGTTTCCATTATTGTCCCCGTTTTACAGATGAGGACATGGAGGCTCAGGGAGGTTAGTTAACTTGCCCAAGGCCACACAGTTGGTGAGTAGGGAAGAAGAGCTGTGCCAGGCACCCCACCTGTTCAGACCCCGTGACCTGATGCCCTTTCCTCTCTCAGACCCAGCCCTGAGCCAAGAAGGGAAGCAAAACTACCCTGAAGAGGTCAGGATGTGGGTCATGCCACCCTGCACTCCTGAGGTGTCCGCTGCCGCTTGGTCCATCCCTGAGGAAGGATGGCTGGTCCTGTGCCCGCCCCCGCCTCCCAGTGACTCCAGTGGGGGCTGGAGCCTGCACCCCCACACAGTCAGATCACCCTCTGGGGCCCCCCAGCGCCTGCAGGAGAAGGTGCTGACTCTGCCCACTCCTTGCTGTCACACACTGTCCCCTCCCAGCACAGGCCCTCTTGCTCTCTCGGGCTCTGCCTGGCCATTTCCCTTCACAAGGGATCAGAGAAAAACTCCTCCTTCCCAGGGACCCTCAGGACCCCATCAGAATCACTGCTTTGTCCTGATGGCTTTCACGACACCTCGCCGGGGGATCTCTAGACCTGTCACCCCATGCAGGGTCAGGGGCTCCCTGAGTGGGGGCCAGCACGGAGTCTCTCCACAGCCCCGTCCCTAAGGAAGGGCTTGAGCAGAAGGCCCAGGCAGCTTCCCCTGGGGAAGAGGTGTTTTCACAGCATGTGCACTGCATCTGTGAGTCACTGCACGAGTGACACAAGTGACTGGTCTTCACATGTCTACATCCACACACATGCATGTGTGCGCACACACCTGTGTGGAGGGGCCTGTGAGTGTGGAGTCTGCACTGTGGGCATGTGTGTGTACACGTATGGCTGCATGCTCCTGAGTCTCAGTATTTGTGTGCATCTGTGTCTTTGTGTGGGCCTGTGTGTGCACAGGTGTGGCCAGGTGTCTGGGGTAGGGGTGTGTGGCTATGGATGACTCTCCTTGGAGCCACCCCTCCCCATGGCAGTAATGCAGTCAAGAGGGGTGACAGTGCCACAGTCACAGAGGGGCCTGGGGGCCCTCCTGCAGCAGCCCTCCTACCTCACCCCTGGGCTGCGGTGAGGGAGGCGCACCGCACCTTCGCCTGGACTCACTGCCTCAAAATCCTCCTGTCCAAAGCTGCAGCCCAGCCCGACCTCTGCGCTCTGCCAGCAGCACCCACCAGCTGTCATCTTCTGGAAGCAAAAGGAGGTGCCTCTTGGAGCAGCTGGCTGGGGGCAGAACTGCCCAGCAGTGGGGTGGGTATGCCTGCCCTGGGTAATCTGCTCAACTGGAGGGCCCCGGCTTTTGGAGTCAGGCAGGCTAGGGTTAAATATTAGCTCAGCATCTTTCTGTGAGACTCAATTTGTCCATCTGAAAATAGGGTGACAATACCCTGGGTTACTAGAGGACTAGATGGGGCCAGCTTTCCGCAGTAGATGCTCACTCACTGGGAGCTGTGGTGATTATGAGAATAATCATTATTATTACAAGTCTGAGGGTCTGCATCTGAGGAGGAGCTCTCAGGAGTGGGCTGACAAGGTGACTGGGAGAGTGCTGCCTCCAAGTCTGTGGAGGGTGGGGACGGCCACAGATGGAGCCAAGGGTGGGGAGTGGGATGTGGGGATGCTCTGGTGAGGGAGGTGGGGTGGGGCTGGGTGGCTTGGGGGATGCGCCCAGCCTGGAGCACAGAGGGCAATCCTGTGCATGTGGAGTAGTGCGGGCACGCAGTGGCCCCCAGCTAGGCCCTAGGATAAGGGCAATGGGCACCTGCTCAAGGGATTGCATCTGTCCATTCACAGCTGGTTTGTTGTCCCAGAGCTCTCGCTGATGCCGAGCAGGCTGGTGGGTCCCCTCCCCTGCTGTCGCCAAGCCTGCCCAGGGTCTCCTCCAGGGCTCCACCAGGGCTCCTCTTTTGTTCTCTTGGCCTGAGATGTTGGCTTTGGTTCCCTTTGGAGAGCCTCTTCTGGGAGAAGGGGCTGAGCTGGCTGCCTCAGATTGGCATCCAGAAGCAGATGGAGTCCTCAGACAGAGCCTTGTCCTCTCAAGGCATGAGGTGGCCCCGTCCGGCCAGGCTGACACTGGGCCGCCATCCTAGTGCTTGTCAGCCTTCTGCTGCCGCAGGGCTTGCAGGAAGACCCCTTTCACCTGGCCCAGGGTCTCATGGTACATACGGATGTCCTCTTCTTTTCCCCGCAGGGCGCTGCCCAGAGCAGCCTTCAGCATTTCATTCTCCTCTACCTGGATGGCCAGCCTGGACCACATGAAGAGAGGGCTCAGTGCAGCCTGAGCTGGCATATGTGTTTGTGTGTGTGTACACATGCATGTGTACACAGGGCCCTGGGAATGGGGCTGCCAGCACGGCTGCTCTTCAGGCTCAGGGTTCTGTCTGACCCGACCCCTCCTCTCACGGACCCCTGGGGAAATACCATGTGGGATTCCTTTCTGGGCCCGCCCACAGCCCTGGGCCTGGCACCCAGTAGCTCCCCCAAATGTTGGCTGCCTCAAGGATGAGTACTGATTTGTAGAACTTCCCCCTCCTTCCTTTCTCATCACCACATTTGACCTTGAAAGGTTTAACTGAGTGAGAAAAGTGGGTTCAGCAACCCATGCTTAATAAAACTTCTCTCGGGACTTTGGGGTCATCAGGGTCATGGCTGGGTCTCTCTGCCCTCTGATGGCCAGTCACTGAACTGCTGGCCTAGAACCCAGGACCCAGCAGGACCGGCCTTCAGAGCAAACAGAAGTCAAAGGGGGAGGGATATGATCCTTCTGCCCATCGAAGCAACTCCACCCAGACAATGCCACCCTTTCAGGAAGACGGGGCAGGGGAGCACCTGGTGGTCAGCTCCTCCATCTGGCATTCCACAGGCACACTGGAGAGCTGGGCGAAGGATGGGTCCTTTCTCTCATTCCCATTTGGGTTGTGCCTGGTGTTAGAGGCAGGCAGACCTGTGGGGCGGTAGCAGCCACTTTCTGTGACGAGGCCATGGCCCTGTGTTACTTTCCGTCGCCTACCCCGACTGACCACTTCCTGCTTGCCCACTTGTTGAAACATTATACCTCCTTCAAGGTGCAGGACAAGGGCTGGCTCCCTCCAGAAGCCCTCCCTGAAGCCTGCTCTGCATTCCCCAGACCTGGGCTTGGCGTCTGCTACAGCCCTGATTCTGCCTGCTTTGTACCAAGGCGGTTCCTCTCATTACTGTCTCCATCTTTGCAGTTTACAAGTTTCTGGAAGGCAGCTGGGCCTGAGATCTGGCCTGCAGGTTGAGCCTTGATTTAGGCTGTTACTGCATCTGATGCCCTCATACCACTGGGTCCCCCCTCCAGTCTCCATCCTGGCCAGCAGCTCCATACATATATACTGGGGATCCAGGGTGGTTGGGTCAGGGGCCACATAATGCTCAGAAAAAGAAACCAAAGCCCTGGTGGGGGACTTGGGCAGGACCACAGCATTAGAAAACCTCTGTGCTGACAAGGTCCTCAAAGGAGGCGTGGTTCTCAGGGGTGGTGCTGATCACCTGGCATCAGCAGAGCTGGCTTTCACCCCCTGCTGTGTGGCCTCAGGTAAACCATCATGAGCTGGTTTCCTCGCCTGTAAAATGAGGATACTAGTTCTTGCCTCTAGAGCTTTCTGAAGCCTGAGTGAATTCAAATCGGGCCCTCAAGACCCTGTGTGATCAGATCACCTCCTCAGCACCCAGTGACTTCTCTGACCTCATCTCATATCCCCTCACTATGCCCCGGCCTCACTGCCTCCTTGCTGCTCCTCTAAGCTTCCAGCCAAACTCCCACCGTAGTGCCATTGCACTTGCTCCTCCCTCAGTCATCTGTATGCCACCTCCCCTCACCCTTCCACCGTCTCTGCTCAGATGTCAACTGGTCAGTGAGGTCAACTCGTCACTGAGGTCTTCGCTGGCCATCCCATAGAAGACAGCTGCTCTCTCACACCTCCTATCCACTTCCTCTGCTTCAAGCCAGAGCACCTGCCTCTACCTAACCCAGCATGTCTTTTATGAGTTTATTTGTTTATTGTCTATCTTCCCTACTGGAGTAGAACTGCCATGAAGGACCAAATTCCAGAATCAAGATTCCTCATTTTGCAGATTGGGGGGTGTGCTATGCTTGCCAGAGGGGCAGTGCTCTGCCCATGTCACAGGCCGGCAGGTGGTAGAGGCCACATGGATACATTCTCACAGGCAGTTGTCTCTCACAGTCCAGGCAGCGGTTTTTCCTGCTGTGGTTCAGCCCTCCCTGGCTGGGAGCCTGGCCACCTGTAGGAGGTGAGCTCAAGCCCTGGGGACACCACAGTCCTAGGGGACCTATTCCTGAGGGCCCAGAAGGGTCAGCAGGGCTAAGCCCCAGGGACTTTCCTCAGCCTCGACTCCCAGAAGCTCCTGGGCCTTGAGTCTTGGGCTGTGCTGATGGGAGAAGGGAGAAGGGCACAACTCCCCCTTTGTGCCCCACTTCTGGCATGTCCTTCTGAAACGTTCTGATCTCATCTGGGCCGGGAACAAAGGTCTGAGTGTCCTTGGCTGGGGGAAGGGAGGAGGGAGTTCTGGGGTGTTGAGAGGCAGGATGGTGGGGGGGCAACACCTCCACTCCAGAGCCTGGAGGGGGTTGGGATGGGGAGGGATGTCAGAGGGAAGCAGGCCTAGCCCCTCCACACTGAAGAGTCTTCCTCCATGGGAGTCTGCTACCCCAAACATGGCTTCTGGCTTTGGTATCCTGCACCCCCAGCTTGCCCAAGCCCCACATGATGCTGGCGCTGCTGGTCCGGAGACCACACCTTGAGAGCCACTGTGTTAGAGCGATAGACCTTGCAGTTTAGGACAACTAACCTCTCTCTGCAGCTGGGTGTGGTCATGTGACTAGAGCTGGCCAATGGAATGAAAGCAGAAGAGACACAAGCAACCTTAGGTCATGCCCTAAACGGCAAGAAGCAGGTTGCCCCTTTCCTGCTGCTGGTGGGGAAGCTGAAGCAGCCATCTTAGACCATGAGATGGAAGCTGCGTGTTGAGGACGGCGGAATACAAGACAGAGGAGATGCCCAAGCCTGTGGAGAGGCCACCCCATCCCTGCTTTGCTTGACTGCTGCAGGAGGAAGAAAGGGATTCCTCTCCTGGTCAGCCACTGCCGCTCTGGCCTCCCCAGCAGACCAACTTTGCCTCTTTGAATAAAATCAGCTCAGGACAGAGGGTTGAGGGCCGGGGTGGGGGCAGCAGTGGGGGTGGTGGCTGAGGGCATTCAGCACAGGCACTGCCACCTTACGCTCAGGGCGTGCAGATGGGTTGGGCCAGGGCCACATGGGCCCATAGCACTCTGGGGCCCCTAGTTCTGACTAGGAGGCCAGGGAAAGAGGACACGCAGCAGCAGGGGCAGGCAGACCCGATGGAGGCCTCTGCTTGCCACATTCTCCTCCATGGGGCTGAACGGTGCTGCCGACTGGCTCCTCCGTTAGCAGCAAGGCGGCCCTCCCTCCCCCCACCACGGGGGCCCCGGCTCTAGCCCCTACCTGTTTTGCTCCTGGGGGCTGCTTTCTGAGAAGCTGACGTCCTCCCAGGCTCCAGGCGCATCTTCTCCAGACGTTGCTCCAGCACCACGCTGCGTTGCCGCTCCTCCTGCAGCTTCCTCTCTGACTCCAGGAGCTTGCTGTTGCTCTCCTCTACCCTGTGATTAGAGAGGAGGGGCTGCCATACTCCCCGGCAGGCAGGGGAAGCCCTCACCCCACGTACTCAGGCTCTCAGAGGTGGGCACATCTTACACTGGTGGTGGTGGGACTCGTTCTTTATTGCAGTAACACAGGAACATGCATTAAGAGTCATATAGTTCTCTCCAAGGCTTAAAATGAAAAAATCGGTGGCCCCTCCTCACTCTCAATTCCTGCTCTTCAAAAGCAACACTTATAACACTTTTAGCTGTTTCTTTGACTATTTACTGCCATATTTCTACAAATGCTTATGTTGCTATTTTTTAAGGTTTAAATATCATTTTTGACTTCTTGTCATACAACATGAGAATTTAGTTTTATTTTAGTATTCTCCCCTTACCAAACAGAATCACCTCTCTACTTTCCAACGTACTTATATTACCATTTTTTGGCTGAATTAATATTAGGTGGTATATTAGTTTTCTATTGCTGCTATAACAAATTACCACCAACTTAGAAGCTTAGAACAACACCCATTTATTATCTCACCGTTCTGTAAGTCAGAAGATCAGGAGGCTCTGTTGGTTTCTCTGCTCCAGGTTCCACAAGCCAAAATCAAGGTGTTGGCTGCTCTGGGTTCTTACCTGGAGGTTCTGGGGGAGAATCTGCTTCCAGGCTCATTCAGGTTGTTGGAAGAATCCAATTCCAGTTGAAGGACTGAGGTCCCTGTTTCTTGCTAGCTGTTGGCTGGGTCATTTTTATCTTTTAGAGGCTACTTGGCCCCCTCCATCTTCAAAGCCAGCCAGATACCCTCATCATGCTTTGAATGTCTCAGACTTCTCCTGCAGCATCTCTCTGACCCCAGCTGGAGAAATTTCTCTGCTTTTAAGGGCTCAAGTGATTAGATTGGGCCCACCTGGTAATCCAGGATAATCCTCCTATTTTAGGGTCCATAACGATAATGACATCCGCAAAGTCCCTTTTGCCATATAACATCAAGTATTCTCAGGCACAATAGCAGTGAGCAAATGGCATGGGGGACAAAATCCTGTCTACCACAGGGGGTTACATTAGAAATGCAATGATTACATTTTTGTTCTTAATTGTTTGCTTTTCTTGGAGTTAGTGATTGCTTTCTGTTTATTATTATTTATCATTATTATTTTCTATATGCCTGTCATGAATTCGTGGGCCTTGAAGACCTTGTGATTTGGTTATTTCACATGAAGGATGTGTTTAATCTCACTGGGGCTGGGGCTAAGGTCCTTCCTGTGGCTAGGTATGGCATTCCAGATCTTTGTGATACCAAAGGCTCAGGTAAAGGTCAGGACTCTCTGAGATTTAACCCAAGCAGAACGTTACATACACATGTGCAAATCAGAGTGGCAGCCTGGAAATTCACAGTGTTGGAGGAAGTGGTCTCTCCATGTCAGTGAAGAGTCAAAAAGGAACAGAATGCTGACAGTTTTGAACAGTATACAACTACTAACACAAAACTGTATACTCAGTACACAGCTACTAACACAACTTGTTCAAGCATGTTCCTTGAAACTTTATTTGCAAAAGCAAAAAACTAAAACAACCTAAATGTTCATCAATAGGGGAAAGACAAAATAAGTGATAACATATTCATACCATGAAATATGATAGAACGTGATAGAGTTGTGCTGTTCAACACAGTGGCTGCCAGCCTCATGTCCAAGTGTAGCTATTTAAATTAAAATTAATGAAAATTAAATTAAAAAAAAATTCGGTTCCTCAGTCATGCTAGCCACATTTCAAGTGCTTGAAAGGCACATGTAGCTAATGGCTGCTGCACTGGACAGCGCAGATACAGAACATCTCCATCATCACAGGTCCACTGGACAGCACTGCTCCAGCAATGAAAAAGAATGAGGTAGAGCTACGTGTATAAACACAGAGAGATCTCCAACTCATGCGATTGGTGAAAAAAAGCAAGTGCCACAAGAATACATATAATACCATTTTTGTCAATAAATGGTAAATAAATCATAGTGGAGTAACACAATAAAATATTCTGTAACCATAAAAAGAATATGTACTGACATGAAGAGAATGTCTGTGATATATTAGTAAGTAGTAGAAATAAGTAGTAGAAGATTATGCATAATATATGACCTAATTAAAAAATTTATAACAAATTAAAAATGTAAAAACAAATAAATACTAATGCTAATGTCATTCAGCCGATGTACTGAAAACAGAGGACTAGCCAGCAGTTATGGACTAGTTGTCTGTGGGGGAAGGGCTTTCATTTTTCTGTTACGTATTTCATTAATGTTTGCTTTCCATTTGTGATAGGGAAATAATAAAAGAATCTAACAGCAAACACCATATAAAATGCTAAAGCACTTTATGAATGCTAACAAAATTTAGGAACAACCAAACTCAATTTCTCTCCTTCTTCCTCCAAATGTGCCTTGCCTTCCCCATCTTGATAAATGTCACCATCACTCATGCAGTTCCTTGGCCAAAAACCCTGGGGGTCACTCTTGCTTTCTCTTTCTTCCTTGCTGCTTTCAGCTTCCAATTCATCAGCAGGCCCTACAGCTTTTCCTCTAAACACACACCAAAGCCAGCTCCCTCTCACTGCTTCACCTGTGGCCTGGTCTGGGGCTGCTCCTCTGCCTGCCTCTATAGATTTCAGTTTCTACGCAAGACCAACAGACCCACTGGGATTCCGATTATTCTCTTTTGAGCAGTCTTCATTCTCACTGATTTTTTTCTTCTTCAATCATTAACTGGGCTAATTCAGCTAGATCCTCGCGTCTCAATGGCTTTGAGGGTGATTCTAACAGCTGTCCAACACCACATGCATCAACCTCATGAAATTCCAAATATTTTTAAAGATTTGCCTTTTTACTTTGCAATTGATTTTCATTTTATTTCAAGAGTCTGACCAAATTGACCCAATGGCAGTGTGAAGTGAAGAATATTAAGTAGTCAAGTCATAAGTGAATATTTTGATGTTAAAAATTTTGCTTTCATAGGGACTGTAACTGTTGGGATGCTGAGAAAGAATACTCAGATAAGACGGTCCCCCTGCCCAGGAATTAATTTAATGCAAATGATACAAGATCTTTATGGAGACAAACACATATACTATTATACATTATATACATAATTTGTAAAGAGCTCTTTACAGATGTAAGGAAAAAATATAAACAACTCTCTAAAAAATGTGCAATAGTATGAATAGGTAGTTAGGAAAGAACATGTAAAAGGCTATAAACACGCGAAAAATATGCTTATCCCCACTTATGCTTATAGCAAAGCAGATAAAAACAGCAATGAGGTATTAGTGTTCCTTTATTAGTTTTGCAAAAATGTTAAAGACTGATAAAACTTAGTACAGGTGAGGGAATGGGGAAATGGTTGATAGTTCACATTATTGGTGGGAATGTAAATTGATTCATTCTAAAGGGGCAATTTGCCATTACTTGTGGACATTTTCAATGTGCATATTCTTTGATTCAGTGATTCTACTTTTAGAAATTTATGATACCAATATACTCCCACAAAAATGTAAAGACGTGGTTAGTGTGAGTCCATCTTTTAATAATATATGTGTGTGCATACATGTGTATATACATATACACATATATATGCATATGTATTTTTGGATGTGCAAAGAAAACCTTTTTGGAAGTTCTAATAGTTCTTTTCTATGAGGAATGGCGAATTGGGGGTTGGTAAAAGAGGTTTTTTGCAATAAGTATACATTTATAATAGGAAAATTAATAAAACTTCCAGTAGCATAAGGCAGGGTTTTAATGCCAATGTGATGGCAGAACACATAAACCTGGGCTCCTATAAAGAGTGCCTTGTTTGTGATAAGAGGACTGAGACAATACCCATCCATAAGCCAGGGAAGTGGTGAGGAAGCTTGTAGTCTACCAGGGCCTTAAGAGGGGGGAAAGAAAGTACCAATTAAATTGAAACACAAGGCTAGCACTCATGTGTTCAGGAAATCCTAAACCAATAAATTAGCATAAAGTACTGATCAGAGACCACTGAAACCTCAAAAGCCCCACAGTAACAAAAGCAGAACCATTCTGTTGGAGCATTTTCATAACCTAAGAACTCTCACAAGGAAAAAAAACCACTGAAGATAAGCTCACAAAAACAACACAAAAATACAGACCACATAGGGAAATAATCCACCATGAGGGGGAGTTAATAGACATTACTTGGAATCCTAAGTAGTGACAATGATAGAGCAACTTTAAAGGGACTAAGTAAGTTCAAAATTATTAAAAAGCAAAAGGCAAGAAATCTCAATGAAAGAACAAATGCTATAAGAAAGAGAACAGGAGGTTTTACACAAAAAAGAATGGCTGGAAATAAAAAATACAGTTATTAAAATAGGTTTCATGGCAGATGAAGTGCAACTGAAGAGATTTAGTAAGCTGGAAGATAGATTCGAAGAAACCACCCAGTAATCAGCCCAAAATATTAAGAAGTTTTAAGAGTTGTGGAGGAAAGAATAAGAAGGTCTAATACATGTTGACTAGGAGTTTTAGATGAAAAGAATAGGGACAGTGGGGGAGAGGCAACTTATGGAGAGAAGGCTTTGGCAATATATAGATTGAAGTCCTTGGATTAAAAAAGCACACTAATTCCTAAATAGGAGAAATAAAATAAAATAAAATAAAATACCTAGGCACATCAGAGTGAAACTTCAAAATATCAAAGACAAAGAGAATATCTGAAAAAGCATCCAGAGAGAAAGGACATATGTACAAAGGAACGACAATCAAACTGACAACAGATTTCTGTTTAGCAACAGTGGATACTCAAACACAATGGACCATCATAGCCTCCAGTTGCTGAGAAAAAATAGCCATCCATCTAGAATTCTATGTCCAATTAAATTCTCATTTAAGAGAAAGGCATAATAAAGACATTTAAAAATAAAGACCCAGAGAGTTGACCATTCACATGGCCTCACTGAACTAAAGGATGCACTTCAGTAAGAAGGAAACTGAACCCAGGAGGAAGATTGAGAAGTAAGAAGCAGGGGCCGCCCCGTGGCTTAGTGGTTAAGTGCGCGCTCCACTGCTGGCAGCCCGGGTTTGGATCCCGGGCGCGCACTGACGCACCACTCCTCCGGCCATGCTGAGGCCACATCCCACATACAGCAACTAGAAGGATGTGCAGCTATGACATACAACTATCTACTGGGGCTTTGGGGAGAAAAAGGGAAAAAAAGGAGGAGGATTGGCAATGGATGTTAGCTCAGAGCTGGTCTTCCTCAGCAAAAAGAGGAGGATTGACACGGGTGTTAGCTCAGGGCTGATCTTCCTCACAAAAATAAATAAACAAATAAATAAAAATTTAAAAAAAGAAGTAAGAAGCAACAGTGATGGAAGACATTTTTTTAAGCATGTTGGCAAAAGTAAAGGAATATTGACTATTTCTTAAAAAGATGAATTTGGAGGGTTAATTTCAGAGGGTTTTAAAAAAGAATATGGGAGAGAAATATTAGAAAACATTAACATGAAAGACGCAAATAGGAAAATCAGAGTCAAAACATTCTAAATTTATTCTATTGCTCAAAGTGATAATAAAGAAACCCACTGACTTTAGACTTGCTAAGTTTTATGTTAAAAGTTCAGAGTAACCACTCCAAGAATAGAGATAGAATGTATCACTTCCAAACTTGTACAGAAGAGAGGGAAACAAATCTTGATCAATCCAAGATAAGGGAGAAGAATGGAGAGAAAAAGAGCAAAGCAGAATCATAGCAAACAGAAAATACTGAGATGATCAAAATACTCCCAAATATTACAAAAATGAAAATGGATTAAATTTCTGTTCAAATACAAATTCTCAGATTGAATTTAAAAACAAAGCCAACTATATGCCTTTTTATTTATTTGTTTTTTTTGTGAGGACTAGCCCTGAGCTAACATCTGATGCCAATCCTCCCCCGCCTTTTTTTCCTTGAGGAAGATTGGCCCTGAGCTAACATCTGTGCCCATCTTCCTCTACTTTATATGGGACGCCGCCACAGCATGGCTTGACAAGCAGCGTGTCGGTGCGTGCCCGGGATCCGAACCTGTGAACTCCAGGCCACCGAAGCGGAGCGCGTGCACTTAACCGCTTGCACCACTGGGCTGGCCCCCGTATGGTTTTTTGAAAGAGACATATTTAGTGACCTTGTCATGGCAGACCCTCCTATTGCAAACAACTAGAAAAATGGATAAAATATAAGAAGTACGTTGTTTTCAGACACTGGACAACAGGACAACAGACATTGGACAATGGACACAGGACTTGAGAGAAGGGAAACAAATGACACGAGCTCTACTATTATTTTCAGTCTGGGGCCCCTGACTGTACTATGGGGGTGAGGGGGATCCCAAGCAGAGCATGGTAGTCTCAATGGGATAAGAATGGAGAGTGGGGGCTTGGGGGTGGGGCTGAGGCAGGTGGAATTGGTAGGGCAGGGAATGAGAGAAAGATCTCCCCCTGTGCAAGGCTGGGACAGACTCTTCAGAGAAAGAAAGGAGTAGATATTGAGGATCTCTGAGAAAGGGAGGTCCTGTACTTTGGGGTGAGAAATCCAAATAGGTTTGTGGGGATCAGGCCGAGGAGGCCTGGGCCCCCTTTCTTTGTTAGACCCCAGAGAGGTAGCAATGCCCCAGAGTAGAACAGGCCATGTGTCTTGGCTAACAGGCCTAGGACAGCCTCATGAGCTCCCCATACCCCAAAATGACACAGAGCAGCAGAATGAACCCAAGAAGGGAAAGGGTATCAGCTGAGGGAGAATCACACATGTATGACTCTGACAGCGGGTGCCTCCTTAAATCCTGCACCCCAGGTGCCTTGCCTGCCTCATCCTAATCCCAGCTCTGCGTGGAGAGGCCCTGGAAGACGAGATCCCACATGGAGGGAGAGGCCACGTAAGGAGAACTGAGGCACCCCTGCTGAGCTTCCAGCTGAATAGGGCCATGTGAGGGATCCTAGCTGGCATTAAGTGAAAAAGAATGACCTAGGCAACCTGCAGAATCATGGGAAAGAATAAACCACTGTTTGGTTTAAACAAAAAAAGTTGTTTTAAATCAACTTTGAAGCCACTACATTTAGGGTGGTTTGTTATGCAGCAATAGACAACTGAATTACTTGGTTCACAAAAACCCCCCAAACTCAGGTGCAACTCAAGGGAAATGGGAGAGAAAGCCTGAATTGAATAAGTTTCTTCCATTTAATAGACTAGAGGCTTGTACTGTCCATCACATTTCAATTATAGAAAAAGACAATGTCACTTTTCTCACACACCTGGGTATGTCTGAAATTCATGTCCTCTCTACGTACTACATGAAAAGAAAACAATTAAAGCTGATCACTTCTCACTGCGTAGGTGGCGGACACCCATCGACCACTTCCCAGCACCCCTAACTCCATCTTTGGTAACTATATTCCATTTTTCGCTTTCGCAAACTGCCCTTCCTCCACTCTATGAGCACCCGGAGGTACTTCCAGTCAGGGTGCCTAGCCTGTGTCCAGGGACAGACATGGGAGAAACCCAGGCCAGCTAGACCTTCTCTCCCAGACCCACTGGCACAAGAACTGAAAGCCATTGGGCCTGTGTTGTTCCAGTGGCCCAGAAGAGATCACCCAAAGGGTGCCTGCTACCAGGATTCCTGGATCCTCTTGGGCTTCTCTCCTGCCCTGCACTTTGGAGTCTTCCAGCACCTTCCAAAAATCTGCCTTTCCCTTAACCTAGCCAGAACTGGTTTCTATTGTCTGTCATCAAAGAGCCCTGACTGACATGTGACATGGCCTGTTAGGGCAGAAACTCAGTGGTGTCCTTTATGTTTTTCAGTGTGGAGGTCACATGGTTGGGCCCTGGCATCTGAAATTCTTGCCAAAAGGATCACTTGAACGATGAGGACTGATTTATCTGAATGGAAATCTGTCAACAATCCCTTGGAGAAAACCATACCTCCTGGTCCACTGCCTAGGGACACACGCTTCCCTCTCCCTCCCCAGAGAAGTCTCAGCTCCCCATCAGCGACTCTCTTCCTCTTTGTAATTCCAGATGTCAGTCTAGCCTGTCTTCTTCCCACCAAACCCTCCAACGGTGCCGAGTACGGTGCCATGCTCATCACAGGTTTTAATTATTAGCGGGTTGATTTGACCGATTTAACTATGCCAGAGAGTCTCTCCCCTGAGACTCCTACTTCATGTCCACATGCATGCAACAGTCCCACTGGGTACACGTAGGACAGGGCAAACCACAAGCATGCCCATAGGGGCCCAAGGTTGCGGGGCACTTGGGTGGGCACATGAGTTGTGGTTGGGAATGCCCTGGACCAACACTGCAGGAGCCAAAGTCTCCAGTAAGGTGGACCTACACATGGATGAGGCCTGGCCCCTATCCAGGAGGGATGCCCTCGTGCCAAGCTGTCTACCACCCAGCCCATGTAGGCCCATGAGAGTGTGTCCCTGGGTGACATCTGTTACCGTTTCTGCAGGACAGTGACAAACTCAGTAAGCCGGTCGCGCTCCACCTCAGCGGCCTGCCAGAGGGCCTTGAACTCTGTCACCTGTGCCTGCCAGCCTTTTTGTTCTGGGGAGTCCGAGAACCTGGGGACCAGGGTGGGGACAGAGGTCATTCATGGGGTTACCTGAAGACACACTTACCCCTGTGATGGTGGGAGGGACTAGAAGGACATTCAGGGGTCCTCAGAAATAGCCAGAGAGAAGGAAGTCAGTCCAGTCCCCCCTGGTCTTCCTCCTCTGGCTTCTTCTCAGCCCACCATTCCTGGCCCTGTTCCAGTCTCCAGATCTCATGTAGCTGGCTCCAAAGCCCAACCCCACCAGGGCTGGAGTTGCAACAGCACCTCTGCCCATCCAATCCCTGTAGGGGCCTGGAATTATCTAGCTGTTATGGAAGTTGGCTCTTGTGGACCTAGGGTGCCCTGGGTACCTGTGTGGCCTAGGGCCTGGCCACCCTGCCCAATGCCAGGTGGGCCCAGCCTCTGTCTCCCTGGCAGCACTCCTGCATCTTCTGGCTTGGCCCTAAGACCAGCCCTCCTTCCTGGAGCCTGGACACTTGGCTTTGTGACTTGGTCAGTTTTCTCCAGCCCTGATCCCTCCCATCACAGCTTCCCTCCTCACCACTGGGCCTGCCTACCAGCCCCTTACCTGCTGGTTGGGGTCAGGACAGAGGTGAGCTCTTCTCCCTACCCCAATACCCAGAGCCCACATGTGAGTCCTAAGCTGCTCTCTGCTTTGCCCTCACCTCTCCCAGCAAGACCCTGGTGACCCTGGGCTTGCTCTTCCAGCATTGCAGGACATAGGGAGTGCTGGGCTGGGGCAGGCGAGCCCAGAGGCTGACTCATTCTGTGGTCTTGGGCAGGTCTCTTCCCCTTTCTGGGCCCCAGTTCTCCCTCTGAACAGTGGGGGCTTGGCTGAGATGGACTCTGCAGACTGCAGACTCCTCCATGTTCTGACTCCTAAATATACTCTAAGGCCTTGCTGCTCAAAGTGTGGTCTCTGAATCAGTGGCTGTGGCATTACATGGGAGCTCGTTGGAAATACAGGATCCCAGTCTCTAGCCCAGACCCACTGACTCAGAACCAGCATCTAACCTAGCAGATACCCAGCTGCATTTGTGTGCATTCTGGAAAACCCTACTATCGTCGTCTTCGTGATCTCACATGTTGGGGAGGAGCAACAGGAGGCAGGAGCTGATCCCCTTACCCCACCCTATTCCCAGGCACCCCATCTGAGTCACCACAGCGGCCCTGAAAGACACACTTTCTGGGGTCACTCCTGCCCCAGGAACACCTGTCCAGTCACTGAGGGAGGGGACTGTAAGCTCCATGAGGGCAGGGCCTGCACATGATTGGGTTCAGTAAATATCTGTGTGTTGTGGAAGAAACAAGCTTGAGAACCAGCAGTCTGGGTAGCGTAGGAGCACATTGGCTCCTGCATCCCTGTGGAGTACAAAGGTCACAGCCACATAGGCCTGGAAGGGATCTTGAAGGGTCATTTTGTCCATCCTCCTGCTCATACTACTGTGACTAAAACCTCAGAGAGACAGAGCCTGTCCCTTCTCCCCATGGTGTGAAAAGTGTGGCATGTGCCCTTGAGGCTCCGAGTTGCCCACTTTCCCCTAAGTGCCCTCGTGCCCCCAGGATGATGGGTGGGGCAGATAAAGGGCTGGCCTTGGCCCATGGTCCCTGTGCTGCCAAATATCAGGCCAGAAGTGTCTCAGGCACTTTTTGGGAAATAGCATCCCAGAGAGGACCGATTTGCCCCGAGTCCCACAGCAAGTCAAACATGGGATTAGGGCCACTCAGAGGCCTTGACCAGAACCTGAGCTGACCTGCCTGAGGGGTGGAGGTGGGGGCTGACAGCAGGAGCATGGTTCCAGTGGACAGTGGGCAGGGCTCAGGACAGGACTCAGAGGCAGGACAAAGCCACCCTTTGTCTGTGAGCTGGCAGCAAGAACAAAGGGCCCATTTAAGCCCTAAGGCTTGATTCTATCAACAAAGAGGGGGCCAGAGAGCCGAGGGGATATCAGTGGCCTAAAGTGGGAACCCATATGACATGAAGTTCTCCCCCTAGAGACTGATTTTCAATGGGCAAGAGAAGGCAAGGGAAGGTGCTGGGCTCAAGGCTCTGGAAGGTTCTTCATGTTAACTCTGTGGTAGCAGGAAGGAACATTAGATTGCAAATCAGAGGCCAAGGCCATAGTTCTGAAGCCACTTACTCTATCATCTTGGACAAGGCACCTCCCTGACCCTCTATGTCCTTAAGTAACTTTGGAAGAGTCCCTGGACTTGGCCTGGCCTCAGTTTCCTTTTAATGGGATGGCAACACTGGCTCAGCCATCAAGGATGAGAAGGGCTGTGAGGGCCCAGGGGTCCTGAGTTCATACCTGGGTGAGGCCCCATGAGGACTGGGCAAGGAAGGCCATGTGAGAGCAGATTCCACCAGCATGTGGCCCAGGCTGGTCACGGAGCTGTGTGAAGGCAGAAGGGGCTCATCACCATGGGAAGGCAGGCTGGGGCCCCCTGGGCCTCACCTCTGCATGCACCCAGCTGGGAGGAGAGCAGGGGCCAGCAGGGGTCTGGGGAACCCGAAGAGGTGGCCACTGCCAGCCTTTGTAGCAGCCCTGTGGATTTACTGCCCTTCTTTCCAGAACACTTGCTTGCTCAAAACGAGACAGAACCAAGAGACATCAGAGCCTTGAACAATCCAACACAGGTCTGTTTGAGAATCCTAGAAGCAGGTGAGTTTTGAGGCCAGCTTGGAGAAGATTTTACAGGGAGCTGCAACCAGATGCTCTTGAAGTAATAATATCTGGGTCCAACTGGTTCCTTCATGCAGATGCGGGGCTAATGGAACAGGAGAGACCCACGCATTGGAAGGACAACGCCACAGTCATCTTAAAATTGCACCTGTGGCTTCCCATCAGAGGCAGCAGGAAACAGCTTTTCTTCTGAATAATTAATATTCACTTTCCAACCCCTCCATCCCATTGTTTTCTTACCGAGCAGATCCAAGCCTGCCAATGTGGTCACCTGCCGATGCCGGGGACTTGGTCAGGCCCGAGTCCTCCAGGAACTTGGTGTAGGCGGAGTTGACCTCAGGCCCACTGGACCCCTCATCCACTCCTTTATTCTGAAGATACTGCAGGGAACAGATATGGGGTCGATTCTCAGGGCTTTGGCTCAGAGGGCTGGAGAAGGCAGGAGGGGGCCTTGGCTTGATTTCGGGGCTTTCAGGGGATATGAAAGAGGCTTCTTTTCAGGAGTGAAAAGCGAGGCCTGTTTGGTGAAGGCACTCCATGCATGATAATGACATCTAATAATGCCTCTCTTCAGAAAGGGAGGAACATGGCGTGAGGTGGTGACTGGGCCAGGAAGCTGTTCTACATTTGGGTCCCAAAGGGAAGTGCGTGGCCTATGATTCGGGGCAGATCAGAGACTGACGTCTTCAAGTGGGCCCACCTCTCCGGGCAGCCCCACCCACATGTGGATGAATGCCAGGTGTGACTTGAGGCCACCTGCCTTTGTCAGCTGGAGACACTTGGACCTTCCAGACACCTGGAGCCAGAGAGGTTAGCAGGGCCTCAGCAAGGGCCGGCAGCCTTGCGGGGAGGCTGGGTTGCTCAGGCCCCCTTTCCTCCCCACACCCCTTCCTCTTCTGGATAGCTAGGGAGGCTGGGCTGAAAAAGGAACATTGGAGGACCCCCAGCAGGAGGTCAGGCCACCATCAAGGGGCAGACGGTTGGTGTGAGCCCCAAACAACCTGGTATGTCCCCCAGCCGCACCCATTCTGAGAAGACTTGCAGCATGCGCCAACTTGTCTGGTGGGTAGTGCACTGGCTGGTGACCTCTTAGGTAAAGATCAGTCCTCTTGTGTGCCTGGAGCCAGGACAGTGGTGAGGTGAAGATGCTGGAATGTTCCTGTGTGCCCCTTCAGACTTCACTCCCCAGTGAGCCCGGGATGAGAAGCAGGGTGAGGAGCACAAGGTGATGCCCCCACTCACTGCCACACATACTCTGTCCCCGGCTCTTCCTCAGCCTCGGGGTCTTCAGCATTCTCTACCACAGCCAATCCTGTGGCCCCAGGCTGCCCTGGCCTCTGGAGACAGACGGCTGCAGGACAAACTCCCAACACTAGCCAACACCAGCCTGGGGCCAGGGCAGAAGGGCTCCTGGGCTCCCATGCCTCTGACTGGACCATGGAGCCCTGGGAACAAAGGACAGGGCTGCTCTGTGACACACCTTGGGCTGTACCAGTCAACCTGGCTGTGAGGCTCCTCTGTCGCTGGGAAACCTGTGTGAATGTCAAGGAATCCTTCTCCCCAGAGGCCACCAACTCCCCTCCCCCTGAGCACCACGGCCACCACAGGAAGGAGCCACAGGGAGCCCACGGTGTCTGACTCCTAGCAGATCAGGCTGTCCTCAAGACACCTGCCAAGGCAAAATATCTTCACGTGCTCACTTGTTAGACAAGCATTTATTGAGCATCTACTGTGTGCTCAGTCCTGTGCCAGGCACCGAGGTACCATGTCTGTGCCCCCTCAAGGGGAGTTTGGGAGAGAAAACAGGAAAATGATCCCACAATGTGACAAAAGTTTGGCTTGGGGGTGCACAGGGAGTTAGGAGAGTACCCAGGAGGGGCATGTTACACAAAATGGGGGGAACCCTGGAGCTTCCCAGAAAAGCTCATGACTAGGTAAGACCTAAAAGTGAGGAACAGCTGGCCAGGCAGAGGCGGTGGGGGAGGAAAGGAAGGTGTGTGCTTCAAGCATGTGCACAGGCCTGGAGTGGGGAGAAAGCCGGGCCATGTGAGGAGCTAAATGGCATCCATGTGACCAGAGTGTGGGGGAAAGGGAGGGGTGAAGGGAAGATGAAGGAAGGGTGGCAGCAAGAGACAGTCACATGGTGCCCTGCAAGCTGGATGAAGTGTGGCTTCCCTCTGCCATCCTGCTGCTTGGAATGTCAGTGAAAAAGCTGGCACTGTAGCCACCATCTTAGATCATGAGGATGAGGGCCACAGCTGGGGAGGGAGATGATGAGCTGGAAGTAGCCTGGACCCTTGAGGATTGGGCGAGGCCAAGGGTGATGGGGAGCCATGGACAGGCTTTATGCAGAACAGGAAGACAATCAGGTTTGTACCTTAGAGAGGAAAGGTGTGTGCAGAATGGGCCGGGGAGTCAGATGGAAGCAGGGAGCCAAAGTGGACTAACTAGGACGGGCTATAGCCTGAGTGAAGGCAGGTGGAAAGAAGCAGAAGCGGCTGAGATTTCTCTTGGTGGTGGATGGACTTGCCAGGACTTGGAAATGGATGCTGGGCCCAGACAGCGCCCTACTCACCTGCGCACTGAGTTTCCCGATCTCCGACTCCAGCTGCCGCACCTTGGCCTCCCGCTCAGCCACCAGGGCCCGCAGCTGGGCGACGAGGCTGCCGCTCCGCTGAGCCTCGTTGTTGAGCTGCTGGTCTAGGTGGTGCTGGGACGCTCGTGTCTTTTCCTCTTGCAGACTCAGGCTGCCCAGAATCTCCTGTAGCTGCTTCAGCTGGTCCTGGGCGGCCAAGCAGGAGGGCAGGTGAGGGTTAGCCATGGCCCCTGGGTAGAGAAGGACAAGGGAAGCCCGCCTCCCCCCACCCCCAGCAACCCACCCATTCCCTGCTGCTGCAGGAACCTAACAGTGGGACACTAGTGTTCCCTTGAGAAGCAGGAGGAACACCCTCTTGCCTGCCCTTGGGGGGTTCAATCAGGCAGGCTGGGACCATGCCCTTTTCCTGTCCTCAACTTCCTTCCCCCTGAGATCGAGGCCAAGAAGGACATCCAAGGGGCTTTCAGGACCACAGAAAGCAGCTTAGATGGTGGCCCCTCAGCCAGTGGGGGAGATATTTGGGTAAAAAGAAACCCTATGCCCTGCTGGGAGACAGCCCCTGAAGGCAGTACCTGGACCCCTTGCCAGGGATCTTCCAGCACCTGACTTTGACCCTATCCCCTGGAGAAGCCCCCCAGGAAAGTCCTGGGGTGGAGGCTTCCTGCCTGAGAGGCCAGGAAGGACCATGTCAGTGACTTGGAACAGGTGAGGGCTGTTGTCCTCACCCCATAGTGGAGGAAACTGAGGCCCAGAGAGCCCAAGGGCACACTGCCGGTGAGTGGCAGGCCTGGGGCAGGTCTGTCACCCTCTTCATGCCATCTTCAGTGCCAAAGAATGGCGACACACAGAGACCTCAGAGGACATCCAGCCCCGCACCATATTTAACAACTGGGAGCTGAGGCTCAGAGGGGATGCAGCTGGCCTTGGGTCACACAGTGAGACATCAACAGAGGCAGGCCCAGATTTCGGGTCTTCTGTGCCTCACCCACCACCCTGCCTGGTGAAATTATTATGGACTAAGGTGGTGCCTAAGCCAGCATCAGTTCCCTCATGCACCCTAGGCCAGCCAGGCATGACTACTGCAGGGGCCTATGGGCACAACTTGGAATTCAGAGACCAAAACCCTGGGGTGCCTCAGGTCCCAGAGAGAAAAGGCCAGGCTAGGGGCAGGAGGGCTTTATAGTCAGAGCAACTTGGCCGGAACTCTGTTGTATGGTCTTGGATGACTTATCTAACTAATTGGAGTCTTAGTTTCCCCATCTGTGAAATGGGTTGTACTATATGACCCTAGGGGTTATCCTGGTGGCTAACCATTATATACTGCACCCCAAGTGCCCAGAACGGGAGGGGCTCTACACCATCACACTGACAAGAATCTGTACTGGCACGTCAGTCGCCCCTTTCATTCCTCGATGAAAAATAACCCAGAGTGTAATCTAATCTGCATGCCCTTCATCCATTTCTTTCTCCTTTGGGGTCCACAGGCCCAGTGGCTTGTGCCTGGCATTGACATCACGGCACTCTCAGGCAGCCTCTGAGCCGCTCCTGTCCCTGCGGTGGGGCTTTGGGGCGAGGGCCCATCTGGAGGCGATGGGCTGCTGGGTTATGCAGTGGCATTTTGGAGACAGTGAGAGGTCACTGTGGCTGGGGCTGGGTCAGAGGTTTCTGGGTGGGGTGGGGGCCCATTCTTGGGGGACCCAAGTGGCTGGGCCGTACCATGAGGGCATCGATGAGCTCATCATCATGCCTGCCCTTCTCCACGAGGGTCCCCATTTGACTCCGGAGGGTCTTTACTTCGCTTGACAGCACCTTGTTCCGGGATCTCATGCCCTCGAACTTTTTTTTCAGCTCTTCAAGCTCTCGCTGGAGGGCAACCCGCTCACCCATCAGTTTCTGTAATCAGAAAGTGCAGTCATGGGTGGTGGGGCTGCGTGGGACCTCGGCCACATCTGGTCCCTCCCTCCCACTCACTGGTGAGGCCCAGAGAGGCAGGGGATTTGCTGAGGGCCACAGAGCAAGTCAGTGGAGCTAGGACTCTGATGCTCAGTCCAGGCCTTTCAGGGATGCCAGGTGGGCCACAGCCCCCTTCCTTGCCCGGGCACAGGACAGACGTTACTAATGGATGACAGCACTCTTCTCCTCAGCTCAAGAACACAGGTGTCCAGGCAGCTGCCCCTGCTCTGCCAGAGTCAGACATGAGAGGAAACCCATTGGCCAATTCTAGGTGTGTCCTACAGAGAGCCTGGCTGTCCCCGCCCCTCAATCCCTGCCTGAGCTGAGGAAAAGAGAAACGCCACGCGTTAGCAAACAGCGCTAAGTCTAGGGTTCAAACTGAAGTGCCTCACCCCACCAGGAGCTAGAATGAGAAGGGAGGCTCCAGCAGCCACTCCATCACCTCACCTCCTCCAGCACAGCACCCTGGACTGCGCCTCGCTTTGGTCAGCTACAAGCTGGTAACTCACACATGGCACATGCCTTTGGAATCTCTCATTCGTTCATTCTTTCTCAAATATTTCCTGAGGGCCTACTATGTGCTTGGCATTGTTATAGGTGCTGGGGATATAGTTGAGAACAAAACAGACAGAGTCCTTGTCCCCAAGGAGCTGACATCCTAGTAGGGGAGATAGAGAATGCCAAATGGTGACAAATGCTAATTGAAAAGTCAGGGAAGGGATTAGGGGGACCGTGGTATGGTCAGGGAAGGCATGGCAGGAAAAGGTGACATCTGAGCAGAAACTGAAGGAGAAGAGGATAAGAGCAAAGACCCTGGGTGGAACACGTGTGCCTGGAGCACAGTGAGCAAGGGGGCAGAGGCCAGATTAGGGTAAACCCTCAGAGCCAAGACTGAGACACTGAGAGGATTTTGGGCAGTGGGTGACATAATCTGATCTGGTCTTAAGGGTTAATTATCACTGGGAAAGTATTTTCAGAATCTTGGTGAAGTGAATTACAGAAATAAAAAATAGGAACACATGATGAGTCTACAAGACCACAGCTCTTTGAAGGGAGGCAGCCATAGTTCACCTGTTGCCCTGCTGTCCACACACTCCAAGCTCTAGTAGGCACCTGGCAGAGGAAACGCACACAGGAAATCATTTCCTCCCCCCCACATTGTGGCTTATGGATGGTCCAACAATTCCAACAGATTCCGGTCTGTGTGAATGTGTAAGTCTGAGCTAGGTGCACCTCAAACCTAACATTTTCAAATTTCAGTTCCCCATCTCCCTTAAACCCACTCTCTGTCTCCCCTACCCACCCGCTACATTCACTTCAAGTCTTGCATAATTCTTCCTACTCTTCTCTCTTCCATGTCCGGTCACCGGGTCCTATAAAGTCAACACTCAATGTCCCAGGTGTCTGGCCCTTCTGCTACAGTCCTATCATCTTGGTGCAGGTCCTTGGTCATGTCTCAAGTGGATTATTGCTTTTGCCTCCCGTGCCTCCTCCAACCCTACTCCCATGCCTGACCATGTGATCTTTCCAAAATGCATGCCACCATGTCCCGCCACAATTTAAAACCCTTTGGTGGTTCTCCAATGCTTTTGAGATAAAAGCTCAAATCCCTGGCTGGCATGCAAGGTCCAGCAGGACCTGGCCCTGCCCACCTCTCCAGTCTCACTGTTCCCCTCCTTATACCTGATGGTCTAGGATGCTGGGAGGTACAATGTGTCAGTGGTCACAACATTCCTAGTACGGGGTCTAGCCCCAAGTTGGCACTCATAATGGAAGTCTCTCAGTCAAGAGGTAAGGCCTCACTGTTAGGAAGCCCATTGCTGGGGCCACTGAAGTGCACATTTGGTCTGCCAGCACCTCCTCCCACTTCTTCCTCTATTTTCTTTGTGGAAATCCCTACTTCCCACTCTCAGGCCAAGTTTGGGGAGGCTGACTAATTTCCCAGACTCCCAGGGGCAGATATCTGAAGCTTGGCCAATCAAAGCATCCTGTACCCTTAGCCACAGAAATTGGCTCAGGCATGAGCACATGGTATAAACCAGCGATGACACTCAATTCTGAGACTTTGTCAGAACTACTGGGAAAGAGAAGCCCTTTGTGGGGGCTGGGTTGGAGGATAGAAGCTGGGACTGCCAGAGGTCCCCATGGGAGAGAGTGGAGCCAAACCAAGAGAAAGTGGCACTGAGACCAAGACCCTAAATCCCACTGTGCCTGAGGCCAGGCCACCTCTAGACTGTTCATCTACATGGGCCCATAAATTCCCCTTGTTGCATAACTAGTAGAGTTTGGCTTCTGACACTCCCAAGTCAGCCAGTGAGATGCAGCCCCTGGTGCTGATGCCAGCCTGCCCACCTCTTTCAGCAGCCTGGAGCTCTCCTCCTTTAAGGCCCACCTGACCCTATCATACCTCTGGGGCCATGACCTTCTCCCTCTCCTTTTACAATGAAAATTTCAGGTCCAACATCTCCAAAACAGCCAGGATGGTGCCACCCAAAGTTCATGAAATGGGCTCTGGGTGAGGACTCAGTCAGGCAGCTCAAGGTGGATCAACAGGACATGAGGAACATGCACAGAGGTGACCTCAAACCCCAGGTATCTCCTGCCTGTAAGGGGTGCCTCCGAGTCCTTGTAGGGGCGGTCATGAACTCCTGCTCCCACACGCCCCCTGACCTCCTCCCGGGCATGCCTTACCTCCCAGCCTTCCTGTTTTTCCCTTTCCAGGTTGCGGATCCTCAGCAGGTTTTTCTCCTGTGCTGACAGCTTCCTTGGGTCTGGATAGACAGGCAGCTCGTCACTGGCTGTGCCCGCAGGCTGGCTCTGGGTCTGCCCCAATTGTTTCTCAAGCTCTCGAACCTGAGGGTGGTAAAACTTGTTGTTCCACAATGGGTCTGCAGTCGGACTCCACTACTCAGAGGGGCCACCCTGAGGTGTGACAGGAGACCCCACTAGACAGAGGACACCACAGTTCCAGATGGACTTGGAAGCCTCATATGAGAGGGTTCATCAGGAGGCCACGGGTTCCTGGTGACTTGCAGGAGATGCCGCAGAGGGAGGGGAGGGTTTGGAAGCTGCGAGACCAGCTCCAAGCCTCACTGGCTGTGTGACTGTGCACCGATTACTTAACTTCTCTGAATCTCAGGTCCCTCCTCTGTGAAATAGGCCTAAGGGTACACCGTGCATAATGTTGTTATGAGAATTCAGTATCCTGAACTTGTCTGAGCCTGGGAATTCCCAAGATACTTCTTGGAATGACAAATCTCGGGGCCCAGTCCAGACCAAGTCAGAGCTCCAGGGGAAGGCCCGGAGATCTGCATTTTAAACAAGTGCTACGGGTAACTTTTAGGATCAGGCAACTTTGAGAAACCCCAAGATGGCCCAGGTGAAGTCTTCGGCACAGAGTCCAACACTCACAGGCTCTCAGCAAGTGGCAGGTAGATGTCATCCCACAGAATGATGGCTTTATCACACTGGGGTTGAAGTGCATAACTCCTAGGGTCCTTCTAACTCTGGTTTCCATGTGGACACAACATAAATGATGGAACAAAGTTGGGTAAACCCGAGCCGGGGGCAAAATTCACTAGGACCACTGGTAAGGGGCAGCAGCATGGCTTTGAAAGCACATATCAGCACCCTCGTATGGTAATTCCATTTAAGCATTAAAGAACACTATTATTTTTAATCATTTACTTACACAACTTAACAACAACAATGATAACTAATGTGTTGAGTGCTTATTATGGCCAGGCACTGTGCTCGGTGCCTTACAAATATTATTTCATTTAACCTACAACAACCCTACAAGGAAGGTATTATCTCCATTTTACAGGTGAGGAGGCTAAAGGACAGAGAGATGAAGTGATTAATTAGCCCAAGTTCACCAAACCTGTAGACCAATGATGGAGGCCAGGCTCAAACTCAGGTCTGTTGAATCCTAAGGCTACCCACTGGTCATTAATTACAGTTTTTTGGAGAGTTCCCCCATTCACGTTGGCTTTAAGGATCCTGAGGATAAAAGCCACCCACGAACTGTGAACCTGAAGTCCCTGGGGATGAAGGTGATGTGCTTGGAAAATAGTGGAAGTTACACACCTACTCATGTATTTCTTAGTTTGAAGGCAAAAAAGGAAAACAACCACAGCTAACGTTTGTAGAGTGTTTCCTCCGTGCCAGGCACTGTGTTGAGCATTTTATACATATTGACTAATTCAATCCTCCCAACAACCCTGTGGGGTAGGTACTCTCATCCTCCACAGTACACAGATGAAGAAACCGAGGCACAGTAAGATGAAGTAATTCGCCTGAGGCCACCCAGCTGGTCAGTGGAGAGCTAGGATTTGAATCCAAGCAGTCTGGCTCCAGAGCCCCTGCTCCTAGCCTCTATGGATGCTCCAAAATATTTAGAACATAAAGAGGGAGACAAGGCTAAGTTTTTATTGGGTAATTAAAACTTTGAAAAGTCTATAAGCATCTGGACAAAACTGGAAAAAGGCTACAAGAGTCAGGCAAATTTACATGAAGTAGGGAAAACATAAGCCTGGAGTAAAACAAATCAAAGGCTTTGGCATTTACTAAGCGCCAGTGCCTGGCACGTGGTAAGTGTTATATAAATGCTTCTTCATTAAATAACAAATTAAAATCAGGCTGGCTGGGGAGAATGTAAAACAACAGCTCTGCAAGTGTGCCCTGCAGGATCTAAAGGCCTTTTTTGGGTTCTGTGTCTCTCATGTGTGTCGGTGTGGGTCTTTCTGGGGCATTTCAAGCCCTATGTTCAGGTCCAGGAGAAGTCTGATGACTTACTCACCTTGCTCTGCAAAACGAGGATTTGTTGAGCCCGACCCCTCCAGGACCCTGGTGAAGACAGGAGCTGTTGGACGTTCACATCTTCCCCAACCTCGTTGGCCAAAACCTGAAAAAGGTGGGGCCTTCACTGTGGCTAGGAGAGAGGGCCCGACCAGGGCCCTAATCCTGCTGCATATCAGAAGCGGTGCTGGGTGCACGGGGCTCCCAGAGGGCCCGGCCTCCACTCACACAACCCTCCTCCTACCTCCAAGGCCAGCTGGCCATGCTCCAAGAGCAGCTCTCCCTGGGAAGGCAGTAAACCCATCATCCCCAGCACTTCTTGGTGATGCCTAGAGCAGACAAGGAACTGCTGACAACACCCAGATGGGGCCCTTGCACTCAACATATTCTGGGATGAGCGAACCACAAAGCTGACCAAAACCCGTTTCCTTAACTTCTTCACTTGTCACCTGTCACTGAGGTCATTCTGGATGGCTAGCTACAGAGAGTACATTGCCACAGGGCCTCGCCCTCTGTGAAAAGCCACTGACAAGGAGCCATGTCTGAGAGTAGCAAGAAGGAGGGTCAGAGAACGTTGACTGGGGATGTTGGGTTCCAGAAGGGCCCACTGGCCGTATTCAGGCCCCACCTCAAGGCTTTGAGGTAGAAACAAAACGCTCCAGCTTGTGCCCTGGGCCCCTCTGAAGCTGCCACGGAAACCCCATCCAGTGTACCAAGTCTCTGGCACTTGTTTCCACAATAGAACGCTGTTTTGGAAATCTTGGCCGGTCTGAGTGGTTCCAGCAGGGAAGACAAATGCCAGAGAATTCACTATATAAATAAAAATAAATAATGAACCAGCTGGGCCTGCGTCCCAAGTCTGAGTATTTTCCTTTGAAAGGGGCCTTTAATACACAAACAGTCTATTCATTTTCTAATATTACAGACAGCAGAGGGGAGGAGGCAGGTCTTGGCAGGCTCCCAAGTCCAAGGTGGCTTATTAAGGAAAGACCCAGGATCTATTGGGGCACACGTAGCACTTGGAAGGTCTAAAGAACTCTCCTTTATAAAGGCATATATGCAGGGCCCCTCGGACAGCCAGCAACCCCACTCACCAATGGTCTGTATCAAGGGATGGTGGAAGGAAGTTATTGGATCTAGAGCCTGACCCAGAGCAAGCAGCATGATGCTCACAGGGCCAACCACTCGCTGTTCCTGAATGGAACCCATTGTCCTGGCCATGCTCTTCCCAATCCCAGCCATACAGGAAGACCTGACCCATGGCTCTGAAAGACCTTCTGGGCCATCCGGAGCTCCTGCTTCACAGACTGGATCTGGTTGCGGAGGTCACTCATCTTCAGGTTTGTGGCCGCCAGCCTGTCCCGCAAGACCTTCACCTCTGGGGTCTCCGGCTAGTTGGGAAGGGCGGGAGGGAGAGCAGTCACTTGTTGCCTAAACAGTAACAGTAGTAATAGCCCCCATGTATCCAGGTATGTGTCAGGCACCACACTAAGTGTTCAACATGGAGCAACTCATGTAATCCTCACAAACCCCTGGGAGGTATTATAAGCCCTCTATAGATGCAAAGCAGAGGCTGGTGGATGGTAAGTCCCCTTCACTCAGGGTACCTGGTTGAGAAAGGGTGGGGCGTGGATGTGAATCCTGGCAGCCCAACTCTGTGAACCGAACCCTTTGCTCAGATGTTGCACATACACTTGGATGCATGCAGTGGCCACGGAGAGGGAGCATCTGGAGAAGTCCTGCAGGCTTCACACGTCCCAGACACTTCCTGGGTGTGGACTTTCTCTGCTGTGCTCCAGAGCCTGGCATCAAAGCTAAACCATCTTCACTCAGAATAACGAGGGAACTAGCTCATTCACAGAAGGCAACTCCAGCTCGGCAGGAGGGCCACGACCATCCTAACTCGGGGCCTCCCTCTCCTGGGACTGTCAGCCTGGGCCATGGGCTCCTTTTCTTGGCAATGAGCTCACTGAACAGAAGTAAGGACCCAGTTTAATCCCCAAACACTCCATTTTTGTGGCTTGAAGAACTAAAGCAACCACGAAAACTCTGCCTGCTGGAACTCTTAGCAATGTATTTTTTTTTTTTAATAATGTTTGATTTAAACTATTTGGATGTAAATTTTTCTCAAATGTGCTGCCAATTTCTTTGTCTTCAATAGAAGTTCCTGAGACTCACAGAAGTTTGGCATTAGAGGGACTCCAAAGTCAGCCCATTCAAACCCCTTCTATAAATGATGAAAATGAGGTCCAGAGAGGGGAAGTAAGTTGCCCTCAGGTACACAGCTGGTTGAGGGGTGACATAAACGGGATTAGAAGCCTGGTCCTTCCCCTGCACTCATATTCTCCCAATTTGAGCTGTTGCTGATGCCTGGGCATCAGGGCAGCAGGAACGTTTGTTGGTGGTCTGAGACCATCTGCTCCTGCCCCAACAGACCAGGTGGGCTGGACTTCTGGGAAGCAGGGCGGGTGCTGCAGCGGCTTTCTGATCCTTCCGTAGCAAGCACAAACAAAATCTCCTGGGAATGCTAGTGTGAAAGACAGATCCAAGTAGACTGGGTCTGGGAAGTTGCATGGACCCCAGAGGCTCTGGACAGCCCAGCTGAAAACCACTGGTTAAGGAAACCAGACCCAGACACACAGTCCAGAAAGCCTGGCCTCATCTGGTTTCCTCATCTATGGAATGGGTATAAAAACACTTCCCTGTCCTGCTACCTCACAGCACCACCATGAGGCTAAACAGAATAACAAACGTGAACAGAATTTGTAAACTGGGAACTTATATAAAACACAAATGTATCTTGTTTCTTTTTTTTAAATATTCTTTTGTGTGTGTCCTTCTCCCTGTCTGGCTGCTTGCTGTCCCTTCTCTGCTGTTGGGTGCCTGCCTTCCCCCTGCTAACCTGCTGCTTGGTATCTGCCCTGGGTCGGGAAGCAACACCCCCTGACTGTCAGATCTTTGGTGCCATGAGCCCCACCGGCCCTGACGTGTGGTGGTGTGGGAGCTGTGGGAATATAGGAGCTTCCCACGTGCCTGCTGTGACCCTGCACAGAGCATGGAAAGAGCACAGATTGGACCTGCATCTAGAACCCAGGCAACGACACCCCTCTCCAAGCCTCGTTTCCTCATCTGTAAAATGGGGGTATGTAATACCAGCCTCCGGGGTGCCTGTGCGTGTTGCTAGGACAATGCATACAAAGGGTGCCGTCTGGGGCAGATTCTGATGGAGGACAATGCCAGGGGGCCTAGCCTGGCTTGGGTGGGCAGCTGGCAAAGGGGGCTGAGGGCCAGATGGTGTTCTGGGGAGGGCTGGGCCCATGTGCGTGAGCAGCCACCACCCCTTTTCTCTGTCAGTCCTCCCCTCCCAGGCAGCCAGGCCAACCCTACCTCCCCATCGTTTCAGAGCTGCTTCTGCCCAGAGTGGAATTCCACAGGCTTTGTGGGGACTTGGGTATGGGCATAACCCTCCCCCAGTCTGGGCTATTTTCTTTGAGGGAATAACTGAAACACAGTCCATGGGGAGCAGACAATGCCAATGCTGCTCACGCCACAGCCTCTTGAAGCCCCATGCCGAGGGGAGGTAGGGCGTTCAGCTCTCCTCTGGAATGTGCTTTGGCACTCTGGGGCTGGAATGCGGAGTTGCCTGCAGGCCTCTGGAGTGTGGCTTGGCTTGGGCCGCCCTGAAAAGTCTAATGAGGGGGACATTGCTTTTGTTCTCTCTCTGATCAGAAGACGCCCTGGAGTTCGGATCCCGGGCGCGCACTGATGCACCGCTTCTCCGGCCATGCTGAGGCCGCGTCCCACATGCAGCAACTAGAAGGATGTGCAACTATGACATACAACTATCTACTGGGGCTTTGGGGGGGGGGGAAAAAGAAAGGAGGAGGATTGGCAATAGATGTTAGCTTAGAGCCGGTCTTCCTCAGCAAAAAGAGGAGGATTAGCGTGGATGTTAGCTCAGGGCTGATCTTCCTCACACACACACAAAAATAATAATAAATAAATAAAAAAGAAGGTGCCCTGGAAAACATGTGGTTCTGATGAGCTGAGACTTGCAGCCCATCACCCACTCTTCATCAGAAACCTCTCTGCGACCACAGAATAAAGCTGAAGCCAGCTGCCCAGCTGCCACTCAAGGCCTCCCCCGTGGGTGACTCCACCCTAGCTTTGTTTGGCTTACGTTCCCCTTTCCCCATCATAAGCCCTGGGCTGCAGCCAAATGTCATCCAGCGGACACCCAGCAAACGGAATAGGAATAGGAACACTGAGTGCTTCCCGGCCTCTGAGCCTTGGCTGGCACTGTTCCTGCTGGAAGGCCCTCCCTCATCCTCCTCCAGCAAGGCGCACCTCAGGAACCTCTCCTCCATCCCACCTCCTAGCTGCCTCAGATGGAGGGTGTGCTCCCTCTGCGAACTCAGAGCCCGGGGGCTCTCTCTGAAGGCCCTGTCCCCCTCCTTCCTTCAATATGGCTGCTCATCTCCCCTCTTGGGCTCCCCTGGGGACATAGGCCCTGTCTTTGATTCCCTGTGTCACAGGGCTCAGAAAAAGCCTGTCAGGCTCAACAAGTAACCGAACAAGCAGTTTCCCACCCTGGGCAGCTCTAGTTAGGGACATGGAGGTGCTCAGTGCTCTGGATAAACCAGGGGCGCTTAGCAGTGACCCCTGGAGCCAGGAAAGGCCCTGAAGAACCCTCAGTCTAGCCCCTGCTGAGGGCAGAATCCCTCTACTGCCTCCCCACGTTCACAAAAGACCAGCCTTCAAGAGACATATTCACCCCTGGAACCCAAGGGCCCATCACTGTACACTGAGGACTGAACTCTCCTCAAGACAGGCATGAGGCGGCTTGATCCTGAGGTGAAGTCAATAGGGGAGGTGGGGCTGGAAAAGGAGCACTGAACGGGGAGTCCTGAGGCTTGACTCCCTGTGTCACCAACTGGTCTGGCTTCAAAAGAAAACCCTGGGGAGGCCTCCTGGGATGTTCTCTGAAATATTTATTATCTGGCCTGGGCTCCATGCCCCGACCTCATAGCCCACTGGCTCAGACTGACTTCCTTTCATGGAGCTGCAGTTCTCATCTCCTGGGTTTCACAGACTGCTCACTGGCTTCATAAAACAGAATCTTGGGAACAAGCCCCCATTCCCAGTAGTAACTTTTACTCTAGATTTGGAGCTCCACAAAGGGAAGATTTCTCACAATATGAACTGCCCCCTCAAACCCAGTGTTCCATGGAGCAGTAGTGGGCTCCCTGTCCCTGGGTAAGGTAGAGGCTAGCTGTCTCCCCAGTGAGGATGCTGTAAAGGAGATCATTTACAGCTGAGAGCGGGAGGCCATTTGGACCAGGCCTTCCCTCTGACCTCGCTTTCTGGGGACTGGATCAGAGTTAGACCCTCACTGGCCTCCACTGGGGCATTACTGACCTCAGGCCATAGACTTGGTTACTGTTCCCTGATGGCTGCTCTGAGGATCTGCAATGGTGGCACTGGCTCAGCAATGGGGTAGAGGTGGACCCTGGACAGAGGCACCTACGCTCCCACGGAAGAGGCAAGGCCCAGGCTGACAGCTGCCTCACAGACTCCCCAACACAGAAGGGAATTCATACCAAGGCTCTGTCTCCCATCTGGGCCCTCGGCGGCTTGCCTCCTGCATCGGCGGCCCCCTTGGCTGGCAGCCTGGCCAGGGCCATCTGCAGCTGAAAAAGCAAACCTCGCACTTAATATTGAATTTTGCTCAGCAATTATGGCGCCTGAAGGAAGTACTCTGGTGCCACCGCTGAGTGTGTGGTTACCGATCTCAGTGGTTTGCCTGTCAGCTCAACTTCAGGATCATTAATGGAAGAACTCTCCTTTACAAACTGCTCTGCGATGGGAGAGGGTTTCATTGACTATCTGCTCCACTCCTCAATTGTACAGTAGAGCAGCCCTAGGAGTCACTAGCAGCTTAATAAATAATAATACCACAGCCATGCTCTGTATCCTGGAGTTCAAACAATAGTCTGGGAGGCAGAGAGTAAAGGATGAGGAGAGAGGGTCAGAGACACGAGAAGCCTGCCACACAGACTCATGGCCTGGTGGCCAAGATCACCCCCTTATACAGACAGTCAAGCAACCCTTTACTGGTTTCCCAATTGTTCTTCACACGAAGACCGTGCCTGTCTGACAGGGAGGGGCATGACCCACCCTCCCACCTCTCTGACCTCATCTTGCTCCACTCTCATCCACACTGGTGTCCTTTCAAGCCTTCTTCCCCACTCAGGGCCTTTGCACCTGCTGGGTCCTCTGCATGGAGGCCCCTGCCCCATCTCTCTGAGTCCGGCCCCTTCTCATCCTCCAGGGGCCCACTGTGCATGCTCCCTTCTCTCAGAGGCCCTTGGGGTTGATCTGTCTCCCAGGAGGGCAAGGACCACACCTATTTTGCTCCCCACAGTCTCCCCATGGGCTGGCACAGAACCTGAGATGGTTCTCAAAAAATATGTTATAGATTAAAGAAGCTCTAAATCAATGCCGAGTATAATGCCTGAGGAGGATTTTGGAGAGCAGAATTGGATTCAAAATCCGGCAGCACCACACACTGTGTGACTTGAGAAAGCCTCTTAACCTCTTCCAGCCTCGGCTCCTTAGCCACATAAGGAGAAGCTACGTAGATTCTCTCTAGCATGTGGAGTCCATTCTAGCTCTGAGGGACCACGAACTGCTCAGGCTGTGCCCCTGCTCGACTGGAGGGGTTTGTGATTAGCTGTGGGAGGGCAGGGGGCAGCAGAAAGAAGAAGATGGACAAAAGTGAGACCAATTGGTGGAATGCTCCTGGCTCTAGCTTCAAATTAGCAAGGATCCCTGTTAATTCATTTAACAAATGTTTATCTAGTGCTTACTACATGCTAGGCACTGTTCTAAGCATTTTACTATGTTAAGTCATTTAATCCCCAGAAAACCCTAGGGTGAGGACTATTATTATTGCCATGTGACAGATGGAGGAAACTGAGGCACAGAGAGTTTATAACTTGCTCAAAGTCACAAAACAAGTCAGTGATGGAGCTGAGATTCACACCAAGTAGTCAGGCCCCAGGTCTGCGTCCTAACCACTATGCCGGGCTGCCTCTCCACGACCTGTGTCCCCCTTGCTTCCCAACACACTTTCCCCTCTCAGGATGTGACAAAGACTGAGGAACCCACTGTAAACACTGACCCACAAGCCCTGCAAAAGGACCCCAAACACCTAAGTGTGGCTTCCTCTCTGGAGGAGTGGCCCAGGGTCCTGGGAGTCCCTTCCAGAGGCAGGAATCACCAAGGCCCCTCACTTCCCGCTCCAGCTCCTGGATGTGATGGCTCAGCTGCTTCACTCTGGTTTTTGCACCCTCTGACTCTGCCATCAGCACCCGGTTCTTTTTGGACAGCTCGACGACTTTGGTGGCAATCGCATCCCCAGCCACACTGGCTGTCCCTAAAATGAAGAAAACCGGAGAGGTCAATTAAAAACAGAGGCCTGCACATCAAACTCATGCCGCACTACCAACAGCACTGGGGTTTTAAAAGCTAAAGCTGCTTGGTGTGAATACTCACGAAAGGGCAGATGCTCAGAAGAGTCACCACCCACCTACGTACCCTGAAACCCAACTCCAGTGAGTGGACATGCCACCAATCGGAGATTCACTATGTTCTAGGAAAATGATAAAATCAGGAAGCAGAGTTTTAATTCTATGGGAGATAAGTTTATTGCTCCAATTCTTCACGCCTCCTCAGTGAAAGCGTTACACATCCACACCCTATGCCCTCTAACTCTGCTGTGCCCTCCAGTGAGTAGGGTGTACCCCTCAACCCCTCTATGACAGCCTGACTCTGGGCTCAGCCAATGACTTGTTTTGGCCAATGGGATGTTAGCAGATAAGGTGCAGGTAGAGGCTTGGGAAGCACTAGTGTAGTTAAGCTCACTCTTTTCACTTATGCCATCTCCACAAGAAGAACATATCCAGGCCAGCTGGCTGGTCCCAGGAAGAGGAAGAGAGACAGGTGGAACAAAGCTGAATCACCCTAGCTAAGCCTGGCCTAGATCAGCTGATCCCCAATTAACCCCCAGATGTTTGAGCTACATAAATGCTTATTGCTGAATGCTGTTGAGATTATGTGGTTGCTTCTTATACAGAATTTTGTGGTAACACCTAACCAATACAAATTCATTTAGTAAATATTTACTGAGTTTCTACCAAGTGATCGACACTCTCAGCATTAGGGATTCGATGGTGAATAAAAAAGACTTATGGAGTTTACATTCTAGCAGGGGAGACAGATAATAAAAAACAAACAAGTATGTATTCTAATATCTGGGAGGAATAAGTGCTATGAAATAAACTGAAGTTGGGCAAGGGGATGAGAGGGCTGGGGATGATGCTATTTTAGATGGAGGGGTCAGGAAAGGCCTCTCTGAGGAGGTAATGTGAACAGAGACCTGGATGAATGAAGAGAGGGATCAAGCCAGGAAGAACAGTATTCTCAACTAGGAAGAGTGTTCTAAGCAGAGGAAATAGAAGTGCAAAGGTCCAGAGGCAGGAAAGAGTTTGGAGTGTCTGAGGAAGCAGCTGGAAGGCCCTGGGCAAGGGCAGGAGGCTGTAGAAGAGGTGGCTGGAAGGATGTAAATGGGGGAAGCTGCCTGGTGTGGGGGCCGTAGAGAAGGCAGGCACTGACTGACTAGCGAGCCTTGCAGTCCCTTGCCCTCCCTGGAGGACGGTTTCCTCATGTGTGCAACGGCAGGTTTGGTCAGACAGTCCGCAAGTTCCCTAAATGCTGGCACTCCAGCAGTGGGTAACTGGCGGAGACACCTTCTTAGGTCTACTTTTTTTTTTTTTGTGAGGAAGATCAGCCCTGAGCTAATGTCTGCTAATCCTCCTCTTTTTGCCGAGGAAGACTGGCCCTGGGCTAACATCCGTGCCCATCTTCCTCTACTTTATGTGGGACGCCACCACAGCATAGCCTGACAAGTGGTGCATGGGTGCGCGCCGGGATCCGAATCCGGGCCGCCAGCAGCGAAGTCGCCAGCAGCGAAGCACGTGCACTTAATGGCTACGCCATGGGGCCGGCCCCTTCTTAGGCCTACTTTTTAACATGACTGTGATGCACCTCAGAACAAGACTGAAAGTGACAACTGGTGGAAGGTAAACAAAAGTACTTGACGGTTGTCAAATACAGTCAGCCGGGCTTGCTGCTGTTGGCGGGGGCCAGGCTGTGAGTAGGGCAACCAGGAGTAGCTGCCCTCGGCAACCTCACGTCGGCTCAAGAGGATGAGGACACATCAGGAGAAAGGGCTCAGAAGTTGGGGCAGGAAACCAGACCCAGAAGTACCAATAGTCCAGGGGTGAGTTCTCTGGGTTGTTTTTCTCCAGGGCTCAAAAGCAGTACAAATCCTGGAACTAGACATCAGAAAGGGGTCTAAGAGAAGCCCTGTCTCATCCAGAGGGCAGGAAGGGGGGCTCAGAGAGAATGGGAAAAATCCTTTGTTTTTTTTTCCTATTCTCTCCCAACTGTGTCTCCAGGCAAGCTCCACTCTTGAAGCTGCAACCCCATGATAATGGGGGCATCACTGAATGGGCAAGCACAGAAATGCTAAATATCTAGGCAAATGTAGTAGACCATTTTTGTCTCCTTAAGTTCTTTAAAATATGTATAATGGTTGAAAGCAAATATGATCGCATTGTCTGATAGGACTTTCCATACATATAGATATAACACGTACGAAAGCTTTAATAGAAGGGGGAGGGGAAGGGACCTATACAGTGGTACAGTTTCTTCATTCCACTTGAAGTGGTAAAATATTAATTCTAAGTAGACTGTGAAAAGTTAAGTATGTCTTTTGTAATCACTAGAACAATCACTAAAAAATTATACAAAGAAATATAGTAAAAAAAAAAAATTTAGCAATCACTAAAAATCTAGCCAGAGGAAAACCAGTCTATCTCAGTTGTCAGCAGCCTATCACTTGTGGCCTGGTTTAAAAACATGAACTGGGCCAGTCAGACTTTTCTCTTCAAAATGTGAAGCTGGAATCAGAAATGGTGCCTTCAGAGTGAGGACTGATTTCAGAGGTCTTGAAGGAGAGTCAGGGCTGGCAGTCAGATGAGGCTGAGAGCAAGCTGGCAGAGACAGCAAGAGAGAGAATGTGGGGCAGGCTGGGGAAGAGGGAGTGCCCCCAGGTTCTGGCTTCCAGGTCTCCTGGGGTGGGGAGGCCTCTCCTGCTCTCTCCCCAGAGTCCAGCAGCTTCTCCACAGCCTTGCATAAGGGCAAGCTGCCCCTTCACATCTGAACCCTGAGCCAGGCTGAGTATGTTTCTCGTCCTCGCAACACAAAGCCTTCTCTTCAGTGTGTTTTTGTTTTGGACAGAAAAGGCCAAAGAATGGAGGGAGGTGCAACAGGCCACCAAGGGCTTTTAGGATGCCAAATTCCCCTGCTTTCTAATTCAGCACTGTTCCTCTGTGTGTACCCACTCTTACAGGCATTGACTCTCAAAGGCAGGGGGGGACGCTCTGGCAGATGCTGGGTGAGAACAGCTGCTCTCTGTGATGGTGACACCGACTTTCTGGTTTATTAGTCAGCCACCTGGGAATTGCTCAATGAGCATACATGGAGCAGAGGACAATCAGGGCCAAGGTCCCCATCAGCTCTGCAGGGCCAAGGTCTAGCTCATAACCACAGAGCCAAAGTCCAGCCCACACTTACAGGGCTAAGGTCATCCCCAGATCCATGAGGCAAAGGTCCCCACCAGACCCACAAGGCCAAGGTCTCTACCAACAGAGCCAAGGTCCAGCCCAGACCTGAAGGGCCAAGGTCCACTCTAGACCCTGCTAAGTTCCAGGATATCTCCCTGGAACAGCTAACTTCCCTGTCTCGTCCACCTTTCTGGAGGAGCATTAGCAAGTGCTGTAGAGTAAGCAAGCTAGAGCTTGCTTCTACTGGGGCTTCTTCACATACACAACATAATATCTGAGCCAGAGAACCAAGATAAAATGGACCCTGCTGGCCCACCGAACATGCAGCGAGCATCACAGAGAACCCTTGCCATGAGTCGTAGCTGGGTCACCAACCGTGCCTGGAACGCCTGCCTGCTGCCCTGCTGTCCCTGCCGTTCCTGTGCTACCATGTCCTGGCATGCTGGCCTCCTTGGCCTGCTCTCTTCCCCTCTTCTCTCTCATTTCAAGGACAGCTGACCCTTGGCACTCTCTCTTGGGCACCTGCCCTCTGGAACCTGCTGTTTGTCCTGCCCAGTAGGTCCATGGCAGCTGGACCAGCTCATCTGGATTTCAGGGAAGGGACTGTCGCAACAATGGTGAAGCTACCTGTGAAGGCAAATCTGTCCTCTTCTATTTTCTTTTTGAGGTGTTTGATTTCAAAGTCCCTTTCTTTCAGCAGCTTATACAATCGCCCGTTCTCATCCACTGTTTCCCTGAGCTGATCTCGAAGCTGTTCAATCTCATCTTCAAGCACCCTAAAAAGCAAAGGCAGAATTACTGCTTTTTCACAGGGACCAATGGGCAGGGGTCAGGCCTCAAGCCCAGGTTTGTTGTACTTGGTTGGGCGCTAGCTGGTGATAAGAACTGGTCTGTACAAAACAGGAATGAGAAATTAAGGGACCCTCAATGAGCAGACTCAAACACACTGTTCTCAAAACTGAGTGATTAAGCATACACACACACACACTCAAGTGAAAGGAGAAAGAAGGTTTGAATAACATGGTTTACTATGGATTCAACAGAGAGCTATATAAAACCCCTCACTCCGAGCATTAACATGCCTTTCAGTCATCTGTGGAACGTGCATAAAAATGTATTATATTACAGGCTACAAAGGCAATCTTAGCAAATTCCACATAATGGACATCATACAGACCATTTTCTTTAATGGCAATTGACTAAAATTAGAAATCAATACTAAAAAGATAGCAAAATAAAACAAAAAACAAAACCCAAAACCCATCATCTGTTCAGAACCGAAAAAACCCCACACTCCTAAATTATTTATGGATTAAGGACAAATCATAACGTGTATTATGAAGCATTTAGAACAGATTAACTGCAGAAGCAATATACGTAAAAACTTGTAAAATGCAGCTAAATTGATACTTAGAAGGAAATTTATAATCTTAATTGCATATTATATTAGAAGACCAAACAGGAAGTATCTAAGCCTTAAGTTGAGGCTAGGTCTTTAGGTTTCAGGCAAATTTGACAGAAAATCAGAACAGGTGATGGTTCTGTATATTACAAGTGGTCTTGCAAGGCTCTTTTCAGAACTCTAAAACATGAGAAACACGTGACTGATGCATCTGTGGTCACTTCTGGTAGGCACAGAACAGGCTCCCTAGAGACAGCTGCTCAGGAAGTAAATAAGTCACAGGTAACAGCTATTATTATTGTTTTTGTTATTCTACCAATGTCTCAAGTCTTCACCAATTCCAATTTCTCTGATTTGGGGAAAGATCATTCGGAAGTAGGTCAGGGGTTAACTTAGAGCCAATATTCAGGAGCCCTAGAAATTTTTTCAATTATTGAGAAATATTTATTTTTTTACCCAATTAGCATTTTTTAGTAGAGCATTTTGAAAATTGAGAAACCATAAAAAGTGGAATCTAAAGATAGAGAAAATCAATTCTAGGCAAAATCAGAAGCAAAGATACAACTCAACAACTGCTGTGATTTTTTTAGTAAAATGACTAGCAGAGAATTTTGTATCAATACAGACTCCTGCTTCTAATAACCAGTATAAATCAATATGCATCTGTGGGACATTGTCAAATTTAGAGAAAGATGAGAAGATTCTGAACTCCTTTCAACCTTCTCACCAACTGTAAAAAAGCACGGAACCCACAAAGAGTTGCTTTAGGACAGGTATGTTTACGCGTCGCCATGTGTCAGGAAAGGGAAATTGGCATGGGAGAATGATCCCAGATGAGATTTGCAGCAATGATCATCTATGAACCATCAGAGTCAGCCAACTAGCGCCTTAGAAACCCAAACACGGTTTTCATGACAGAGAGACTGCATAGGAAAATTCAAGTGAATAAACTACACCCTGATGAATTTCAAAATTTCAGTTTGAATTTAAATGGTTTTTAAATACATTTCATATCAAATTACGTCCACAGGAGCACAGGTCTTCTATCAGATGCAAGAGTCTTCAATAACCTCTGTGTCAAAACCTCTGTGTCTCAACTTATAAACACATCTAGTCAACCTGATTGTCTAACTGTCTGCAATTGTTTCTCCCCCACCTTCCCTAGCTCCCTGCAGTGCTCCTGGGAGAGTTCAAACTTGCATTTACCTCTGCTCAAAGCTGTTTTTTGAGTTTTGCTCCCCAGCTTGGAGAAGGCTGAGGCCACTGGAGATCTCCAAGAGCTCGTTTTGGTCATCGGCTCTGCTTTCGAGGCTCAGTTCCTTTTCCTTCCGTTTCTCCATCTGCTTCTGTAACCTTCTGTGCTGCATCTCCTGCATGGCCTTGAACTGGAGCCGCAAGGTGTCCTGTGAGCCTTCATCCGCTGCCATCTTGCCCTAGGAATAAGAAAAGAAGCCTGAGCTGCAGCAAACTCCACAAAGTGCTCATTTCCCAAGAGTGCTCAGCACACAGTCAGCCCCATCTAAAGGCCCCAACCCTGGCGTTTCCTGCTTAGCTTTGCATGTGTGTCCACATGGAAGCTTGGAAGCCCCACCCTCATCTCAAATCCCCTGAAAGCCAAAGCTGAGGTGAGCATCCTCCCCCAGCCCTGAACGTGCTACCAGACTGCAAATGGCATCAGAATACTCCCTCTCACTCAGACTCAACATTTGACTCCTTCCTGTCCCTAAAAACAGTGGCTCTTAACTAGCTGAACATCAGAATCTCCTAGGATCTCCTAAAATGTAACAGTGTTTGGGCACATCCCTGGACCAATGAAATCCCTATTTCTAGGGATAGGGCTCAGACACCACTACCTTTATAAATTGAGGTATAATTTACATACAGCAAGTGCATAAATCCTGAGTGTACAGCTCATTGAATCTTTACATAGGTATACACTCCTGTGGCGACCACTCAGATCAAGGTATAGGGCACTTCCTGTCCCCGAGCAGGCTGTATTGTGCCCCCTCCCACCAATCATCTCTTAAGGTAACCACTATTCTAACCCCTGCCACTGAAGATGAGTTTTGTCTATTTTCTTTTTAATCAGCTCTACTGTGTTCTGTACATAGAACACACCAATTTTATGTGTGCAAATGAGTTTTGACAAATACATACACCTGTGTAAACCACCGCCACCATCGTGATAGAGTATTTCCAACACACCAGAAAGTTCCTTTGTGCAGTCTCCTTGCAGTCTCAATTCCAGTCAATCTCCCTGCCAGTCTCAATCCCAGGCAAACTCTGATATGCTTTTGTTCACCAGTTTTGCCTTTTCTAGAATCTCATATAACAGAATCATAGTCTTTTGTCTCTGGCTTCTCTTGCTTAGCACTACCTTTTAGAAATTCATCCATGTTGTTGCACATATCATTAGTTCATCCCTTTTTATTGCTGGGTAGTACTCCATTGTACAGGTCTACCATAGTTTGTTCATACAGTCACCTATTATGGGACACCTGAGCTGTTTCCATCTTCAGCTATTATGAATAAAGCTGTTATGAACCTTCATATACAAGAGAGTCTTTGTGTGAACATACGTTTTTATTTCTCTTGGGTAAATACCTAGAAGAAGACATGCTGGGTTCTATGGTAAATTTATGCTAACTGTTTAAGAAACTGCTAGGGGCCGGCCCAGTAGCGTAGTGGTTAAGTTCGCACACTCCACTTTGGTGGCCCGGGGTTCACCAGTTTGGATCCTGGGCGTGGACCTACGCACTGCTCATCAAGCCATGCTGAGACTGCATCCCACATAGAGCAATTAGAAGGATGTACAACTATGACATACCTCTATCTACTGGGGCTTTGGGGAGAAAAAAGGAAAAAAGGAGGAAGATTAGCAACAGACGTTAGCTCAGAGCCAATCTTCCTCAAAATAAATAAATAAGTAAAAAATATCTTTAAAAAAAAGAAAGAAAGAAACTGCTAAATTTTTGCTCAGAATGGCTGTACCATTTTACATTCCCACCAGCAGTGTATGAGAGTTCCAGCTGCTCCACATCCTTGCCAACACGTAGTATGATCCATCTAAATTTCAGAATTTCTAGTGGGTATATAGTGGTATCTCAGTGTGGTTTTAATTAGCATTTCCCTAATGACAAATAATCTTGAGCATTTTTCATGTGCCTACTGGCCATCTGTATATCTTCTTTTGTGATGTCTATTCACATTTTTTGCCCATTTTTAAATTCTGTTGTTATGGAGTGATCATAGCTCCTTATACATTCTGGATGTTTTGTCTATTTTTGAACTTGATATAAACAGAATAATAGAGCACAAACACTGGAATTTTTAAATGCTCCCCACCTGATTTTAAAGTGTAGCCAGTGTTAAGTATCCTGCCTCAAACCAAACTCAAGTCACTCAAGTCTTCCACTAACCATCCAATTAGTCATAAATCTTGTTGATTCTCCATAAATGTCTTCAAATCTGTCCCCATATTTCCATCCCCACTGATACCTTTCTCATTATCATGCTCATAGCCACTCAGGGCATTTGCACATGCTGTTCCCTCTCCCTGGAATGCTCTTCCCCTAGACATCCACTTTGCTCACTTCTCTCAAATGTCACCTTATCAGAGAGGCCTTCCTCACCATCCTATTGTAGAAAACATCCCTACCTTCATCCCCATGCCCCTTACTCTGTTTTAGCTTTCTCCTGACACATTATATATTTGTTTATCTGTTGATCGCCTCTCTCCCTCCCTGCCAGCCCCACAATGTTCACTGCTGTATCCTCAGTGCCTGTATCAGGGCCTGGCATGTAGCACACATGAAATGAGTATTTGGTGAATGAATGACCAATGGTTCTGTCCCCAGTACTGCTCAAACAGGTCCCTACTGCCCTCGCTGCCCCTCTCCCTCTTCCTACCCCACTTGCAGTCTAGCCTGCATTCACTGAGGGACTACTTTCTCCAAGCACAGCTCTGAGCCTGACGTGCCCCTGCGCTAAAGATGCCCATTAGCCACAAAACCAAGTCCAAAGGCATTAGAGGCTTTGGGGGATTTGGCCTCAGTCTCTCCTTCCAGCCTGTGTTCCCCTTCATAATGCTGGGTTCTAGTGTCACCTTGCTACTCTGTCCTTACACCTCCACCCGCTCTGGCTTAAATCTTGCTGGTTCCCCCAGGCCCAACATGAATACCGTTTCCTGGTTGTTTCCAGGTTGTTTCCTGACCCTCCAGGAAGAACGCACTCCCTGCCCAAACACCCTCAACTGCTCCTTCTACCCCTTTCCACTGTACTTATCTCCATCCTCTCCACAGGGGTGGTCCCAGAGCCCACACCCAGTGGTTCTTAAACCTGCCTCAATATCAAATCCCCAGGGCTACAATCTAAAGTACTGAAGCCCAGGCCCTAGCCCTGGAGAATCTAATTCAATTAGTCTGGAGTGGAGACCAGGCATGGGGCTGTTTAAGTGCTGCCAGGTGGTTCTAACAAGCTGAGGACTTGAGCCTGTGGCCTGGCCCTTGAGCTTGTTGCAGCAAACGCACGAGAACCGGTGTTACCTTGGAATTCCTTACCAGGTAACGTTGCCCAGTAAGAGGAACTGTGCAGTAAAGAGTTAACTCGAGAAGTCTGGGTTGTCCACACTCTGCACATTCCAAAGAAAGGTTTGGATCTTGACCTGCTCCTGCATCTAAGCCATTGGAACATCCTGCCTGATATGAATGTCTTTCTTTACCTGGGGGCCTTGGGTCGGGCCTCCCTCCCCCGCCCCCCACCCCCTTCTTGACCTTGGAGGGGTGGGAGGTTGAGTGACTAAGGTCAGCCAAGCAGGCAGTCAGCCATGCCTATGTGACCGACCTCCCAGTAAATTCCCTGGACACCAAGGCTTGGGTGAGCTCCCCTGGCTGGCAATACTCCATGCATGTTGCCATGCATCGCTGCTGGGAGAAGTAGGCACTGTTCCCACCACTCCACTGGAAGCTTATGCCTGGCCCCTCCTGGACTCTGCCCAATGGGCCTTTTCCTTTTGCTGATTTTAGTCTGTAACCTTTCACTGTAACAAACTGTAACTGTGAGTATAACAGCTTTTCTGAGTTCTGTGAGTGCTTCTATCAAACCATTGAAACTGAGGGTGGTCTTGGGGACCCTCGGACTGCAGGAATCCCGGGACTCCTCTGCTGAATGTGCAGCAGCCATAGCCAAGTATGATGGGGTGTCCTAAAAGATGGGATACCCAGGGATATAATGAAAGTTAACAATTGGACTCAATGTTTTAAATTTAGGCAAATCAGACTTTTTCTGTAAAGGGTCAGATAGTAAATATTTTAGGTTTTGTGGGCCATATGGTTTCTGTTGCAACTACTGCACTCTGCCACTGTAGCAGAAAGCAGCTGTAGATAATACGTAAATGAGCGGGTGTGGCTGTGTTCCAATAAAACTTTATTACAAGAACAGGCAGTGAGCTGGATTTGGACTGTGGACTCTTGGTTTGCCCATCTGATTTAGAGGAATTTCACCTGAAAAGGTATCTAGAGATTAAAGAAACCTATTGAGCCTATTATTTGAAAATGTAAGTAATACGATTTAAAAATGTTTATCCTGTGAGTCCCTATTTTTGTAGATTATACGAAGGTACAACCAAATACTTCATTTTCCAAATTGGGTCACCTTAGAGAGAAAAGGAAGAGCTATTAATACTCATTCTGGGTCGACAGTGTAAAGCAGTGGTTCCTGCCCGTGCTGCACACAGAACCACCTGGGGAGCTTTACAGATACTGATGCTTAGGTTCCATGCCCAGGGATTCTGATGTCAGTGGTCAGGGTGCAGCCTGGGTGTTGGATGCTGCTGGTCTGAGCTGCCATATGAGTAGCCTGGCCCGAGCTGAGACAGCACCTGGGGTTCAGGGTGGACTTGGCTGTGTACCAGCTGTGTGAGTCTAAAAAGTTTCTAGACCTCCCTGGGCCTCAGTCCCTTGTTCAGTAAGCAGCAGATGATGATATGGATGCCACAGATGTGCTATGAGGAGCAAATGCAAAGTGGGGTGTGAAAACACTTGGTCAGCTATGCATTGGTAGGAACAAAATGTTATTTTCTCCCTTCCTGGCATTCTCTCCTGAGGACTCGCTTCCTCCTCCTCGTGCCCTGCATCCAGATGCTTGCTGTCTCACAGTGATGCTTGTGACCTGCCAGCAGAAAGCCTTCCCGGGCTGCTGGGCCCATAGTTATCAGGCCCCACAGCACGAGCCTCCACAGCCAGTGCCTCACATCGCAAGGTCATCTCCTCTGCACCTCATCTCCTGCCTGCTCCAGAGGTCAGATGGCACAGGTTCACCCTGGTATCCCTCCAGTGCCTCCCATCTGTCTGGCTAGCTGCTGCCCACCCTAGCTCCCCGCGTCTTCTCTTTGTCCCTCTAATCCATACTGTACACAACCATCTGGGACCAATCT